ATAGGGCACACATTGACCATTCATAATTGAGGCTAACTGTGGGAGTGACTGCTGGAGCCATCTCTTGTCAGATTTATTCACAGGGAGACTTGTAGACACCATTTTCATAGGAACTGGTATTATTTCTATGGCTCAGGAGGGGAAAAGCTATAAAGAAGTTCCCTGACACTCTGGCTAGGCACTTAGAGAAATAAATGTTTTTCACAGGCAAATGGGAAACCAGAAAGATTTTAGAAATGTTGTCCTGACTCACGAAGCCCTAATTTTCCATTTTCCACACCCACCTGTGTCAACAAAGTCAGCTCCGGGGGACTTCACATGAATTGAAATAGTTTTTTTTTGCAAACTGTCACTCTCTTGCCCCACAAACAAGCCTTCACATTCACATCTAAGGTGTTTCCCCTTCACTGCTCCTGAAGCCTGAAGAGGTGGCAAGAAATGTGTTTATTGTGGGGCTCCCAAGGAGGCTGAATTTGGGAGATTCCTTGATTCCCAGGTTCATGATTGCCCTTGTGAAATAAACTTTAACTCATCCCTAAAATATGGGCAGCTTGGGGGGTCAATGCTCTGAGGAACACATATGGGCCATTGAAAATGAAAAAGTAGAAGAACATAATATATTCTTAATATTGGGTACAGTCAATAGGCTTTTTTATATTAATTTTGTGATAATACAGGTGGACAGTGGCATTTAGTGACCTCATTTGCTTGGACACACTTTCCCCAAGAATCATTTCCACTTACATGAGTTATACCCACAGTCCCTGACAGATCAAGTGATATTTTGAGTGCATGTCCTTGTCTAAGTTAAAATTGCACCAAAGTTAAACAGGCAAGAAAGATTTTATTCAATATTACTAGAATAGAGGAGAGACTGAACTCAACTTCAGTAAAACAAAGAGCTGGAGAGTTTTAAAGAGCTGAGGTGGTGGGAATTGTAGGTCACCTGTGTTTGTTAACTCACCTTGGCAATTAGAGTAAGATGCCCACCAAAGTCAGGTGCCCAGACTCCCACAGAGACTATGAGATAGAGGTGCTATCTCCTTCAATGTTTCCATTGCAAAAAGATGGTTCCCAGTTCCTTAAAAAGTACATTTCCTGGGGCCTCCCTGGTGGCGCAAAGGGTTAAGCACCGCACTATGAAACCATCCGCAGCCTCTGCAGCACAAGTTCAATACCCCATCGGCCAGGGAGCTACCCTCATAGCACAGCAGACCTCTCCTGTCTCACCCGCTGCCCCCCTCAGCAGTATATTTCAGTCAGTCTGCCTGTTCTATTCCCCACTCTGTCTCTGGTGAATCCTCTTACCACCCCGCATCTCTGGCCTGTACCCCAGCTCTCGTATGCATAAATAAATCTTTAAAAAAAAAAAGTACATTTCCTGGATTATAAAACTGGCAAGAGACTGCATCTATTTCAAAGGGGCTAAGTAAAAATTCATAATTGCAAGTTTTTGATAGTAAGTGCTTCAAATAAAGGGAGGTCAGGGGGCTATAGTTAGGAAGAAACCTGCGTAAAGGATAGTCAAATTGAGGAGAACATTAAGGCCATCTTGATCTTGCTCTAAAGCAATTCAGAAATGCACCACAAAATTTGTTCCTGCTGCTTGAGAAGGAATCCTTGAGATGGAATCCTGAATCCAGTGATACTTGGAAATATACTTGGAAATTCCAGGTTCCTTAAATGGGTTCTTTTTTATGAATAGCTTATGGGAAAAACCTCATAAATGTTTTCTTTTAATGCTTTCACCTGAGTGTCTTCACTGATTAATTCAATAAACATTTATGAAGAATCTACTGTGCTAGGCATTGTTTTAGGTATGAACAAGGTGGAAACTTCTCAAGGACACTTCATAGCACTGATGGTGATAGATGAGTAAAGAATAACTTAAAATATGAGAGTTAAAGATAGAGGTAACATATAGCTCAATAATTTCACTGCTAGTTATGTACCAAGACAAATAAAAATATATGTTCACATAAAAACTTTCAGTATTATTCATGACCAAAAGGTAGAGATAATTCAAATGTCTGTCCACTGATGGATGGATAAATAAAACATGGCATATGCATACAAGCGAACATTACTCGGCAATAAGAATGAAGCATTGGTGTGCATGCTATAACATGAATGAATCTTAAAAAGTCTAAAGTGAAAATAAGTCCATCACAATGGGCGATATCATTGCATCATTCCATTTTGGTGGAATGCCCAGAACAGGCAAATCCATAGACAGAAGCAGATTACTGGTTGCCCAGGGTTTTGGGGCTTGCAGAAAATTGGGAGTGACCACTAATGGGTATGGAGTTTCTTCTGGGGCTGACAAAAGTGTTCCAAATTTGATTGTGGTGATGGTTTAGTAAATTCAAAAGATCATAGTTATGGGAAAATGAAAAGAACCCTGGACTTAACATCAGACCTGGTTTGAATCCCACAAATACTATGTACTTGATTTGTTCAATGTCATATCCATTGAACTTTCTCTTCTATTTTCTCTACCTCACTGAATCATCTCACCATCCATCCACCTTGTTATCCAAATGAGAGTTGTGGGAGCCATTTGAAATGCACAACTCCCAGTTCATAAGCACCCCTAGCTAATTTAGTCACCAAGTTCTACTGATTCTATTTCTTAAATATTTTATTTATTTTCACATTTATTTTTCTTACATTGTTATTCATTTTTGTGCAACAAATGAATAAATCCTCTCAAATCTCCCACCACATCACCTGTGAACCATCACTGTAGTCCCTTGCGCTCTTCCCTCGCCTGTTTTGACCCCCTCTCCTTTTTCCTTCCTGCTCTATATGCCTTAGATCTACAATTTGCTTGCAAGTTTTGTCTTTTTTTTTTTTTACCCTTTGTTCGGTTTCCTTATATTCCTCCTATGAGTGCAACCATACGATATTTTTCTTTTTCTTTCTGACTTATCTCACTGAGCATAACCCTTTCTAGCTTCATCCATATTGCTGCAAATAGCATGAGTTTATCCTTTTTGATTGCTGAGTAGTATTCCATTGTCTATATACAACGCATCTTGATCCATTCATCTGTTTTGGGGACATAGGTTGTTTCCATATCTTAGTAATTGCGAATAGTGCTACAATAAACATAGGAGTGCAGGTTTCCTTTCTAATTAATGCTTTGTGTCCTTTGGGTAGATTCCTAGGAGTGGTATGATGCTATGAGCATAGCCAGCCAGGTGAGCAGCCCCAGGGAGAGGGAGCTGAGGCTGGAAGGGAATGGAAGAGTGGAAAGTGTAGACACCAACAGGTGTAGAGGGAGAGGAAGTTCTGAACGAACTGAGCGATCAGTTTCTTAGAGCCCATCAGAGCAGCTGGTAGAAATCTTAGGTCACCAACTTGGGTATGTAAGAAATGCAAGCTTATTTTTCCAGAACTGAGCTTACTTCCCATTTTGAGCCTCCAACTTCTACTCAGTAAATTCTAAATTTCTTGCCATTTTTGCCCAGCCTGGATCTCAGAGAAATACTTGAAGCTTGAGATTCTTCTCTAAAGCCTTTCTGCATGTACAGTGGACACACTGCCCAACCTGGGCTGGAAGGTTCCTCTGGGACATATCCTAGGTTTACTCTGGGTTTACATAAAGGACAGATTTACCCCAAGTTGGTTAGCCAGTGACTAGTCCAATGCCTAGCTTAAAGCAGGTGTTCCTTAAATACGTGGGTGAAATAAATGGAACTAAAAGGGCAGTGAGAGGAATCAGGGTGTCAAGGATGCCACAGGTATTTCACATAGCCACTTGCACACCAGAGTCCCATCAAAATTGCTCTGTCCTGGTATCTCTCTCCCAGTGACTTCTAGTTAATCTGATAGATAAATCCTTGCTGATGTGTCATCAGGTATGTTCCCTTCTGGGTTCATCATGCACAGTTCACCCTCCAGTTGATGTGAGTCAGCATCATGGAGGGGGGAGGTGCTAAGTAGGCTTTGGGCCACCAAGAGCTGGTACAGGAGTAGTGGCACTCTCCTCCACTGGAAACCAACTCATTAATTATGTTTACTCTGCCTTGGTTATTTTTTCCTCATTACCAGCTAATGGTGCAAGGACAAGTAGGATGTTCCATGCAAGCCTAATGAAAGGAGAGCTTCAGGGGGTGCAGGCTGTGTTCTAGGTCCAATGACGGTCACCATTAGGAAAGTTCTAAACAATGCCCCAAGTGAAGCTCTTCAGCTAGTACCAACCAGTTGAGGATAGTTCATAATAAAAGACAATGTCAAAAATACATCCCCAAAGGGCCTGTACTTCGATGGCTCCATGGAGCTATGACTCTCTTGGCATCCCCTACATGGACAGTACCTGTCTCCTTCTAGAGAAGTAGGCTCCACTGGGGTGCTCTTCACACACTATACCCCCAAATGCCACAGAGGAAGTATCTGGAAAGGATTCCAAGACCCCAGGCTGAGGGTCTGTGTCTTGTAGGAGAGTGGGCATCAGTTGGGGCATGTGTCAGGGTACTCGGGTTTTTGCCTGCCTGGCCAAAGCATCTGTGCTGGTGTCTCCCAGTATTTATGGTCCCTACTTGCGGACATCTGGGTCCCAGTCCCCCTTGATTTCTTCTTCCCTCCATCCTATGTCAGCCTCAAGAATGAGAGTCCACACCTCCCTGCAGCAGATGCCTGGTGTGTGTGGGGGTATTTGAAATGTTCCCTTGGTCTTTGGAATCCTGACTCTTAGGCTGGACATTCCAATAGCACCTCTTTGGGTGCGGATCTTGGAAACTTTAAAAACTGTCCCAGCCAGCCCCACGACAGACTCAGCTTCTGTGAGGTTTGCAAGGCGCCAAAAACATCTCGGGTGCTCCTGGAGGAGCAGCCAATGGAAGTCTCAGCCAGGACCCCTCCCACCTCGCGCACCCCCCCCCCCCCCCCCCCCCCCGTGGCATCCCGGCCTCCTGGCTCTCCCTCCCTCCCTTCCTGGCTCCCTCCTGTCCTGCCTGACACAGAAGTGGACCCAGCAGCCTCGGGGGCTACAGAATCCTCTCCATTGGCCCTGTGGTTCTGAGACGGACCTCAGCCTCTCCAAAGATGACCTGGAGACAACTGCTTCTCCTCTCCTGTCTTTCAGCTGTTGTGTTTCTGGCCAGTGAGTATGGGGAGGTCCCAAAATGGACTGGAGTTAGGTGAGGCTGCTCAGGTGCCCCACATAGAAAGGAGGGTGCCTGTTAGGAGGGCTGCATCTGGGGTGTGTGTGTGTGTGTGTGTGTGTGTGTGTGTAAGGGGGGGAGGCAAGGAGAGAGATATAGACAACACAGAAAAACAGCATGCTGTGCCTGATGGTTTCCTGGGGAGAACAGCTCTTGACTGGTCTGTGAGGGTCCAGGCCCCAACACTGGGCTGTGGCCACAAGGGCCTGGGAAGACCTGGCTGGCTAGAGCAAGGGTTCCCCTGGGGGAGCTGCAGCGCTCACCTGGTGCTCTCACCCCACAGTGATGCAGGAGAGCACTGGTGCATCTGTTGGCACCAGGCAGGTGACTGAACAAGAGGCCAAGGAAGGTGAGTGCAGGGGCCACTGAGGGGTGCAGGGTGGTGGGCTCCTGCCCTGGGGTGTCTGTGCTGATAGAGACCCACCTCTCTTGGGTTCTAGCTGAGGAACAGAAGATTTTCATGCAAGAATCAGATGCCTCGAATTTCCTCAAGAAGCGCGCCAAGAGATCCCCCAAATCCCAAGATGAGGTCAATGGTAAGGATATTGGTGGCTTTCTGCTGGGCCCTGGGGTTCCCTGTCCCCACAGTCAGCTGGGTTGCACCGAGGCCCTCAGATAGCAAAGTGACTTTGGCTCTGAATTTGAAATCCCACATTTCCTTGATTGCAGGTTGTATATTGAATCCACCACGGCACAGGGGATAGTGCCACATCATCTAGCAGTGTTGAGGTCCATCCAGATTTCAGAAAGTTAAAAACATAAAGGGGGAAATACAGGCTCTAGCTAAGAAGGGAAACGGTATGTGAATGCTTCTGTACTGTATACAAAACCCTATAATGCAAGGGCAACAATGGGCATGAGAGCAGATGGGACAGGAGACTGGAAATGTGAGTTTGGTGACAGCTTTGCTGCTAAGTGACCTCAGCCACTTCCTCTCTGGCTGTCCAAGTTTCCTTACACATAAACCCCTGAAAGTGTGGTGTTCAGCCAGAGTGTAGAAAAGCTTTCGTTTTCAATGCATTTGGGAGCTTTTGAGCCTGGAAGCTTCTCTCCTCAGCCTGAAGTTGTCCCCTGCCTGGCAGGATCCACACTTCTGACTGCCCACCCTTGCGTTTGCTGTCCCTGAACTAGATTCTTCCAAGGACTCAGCGCTCCGATTTTTTCCCCAGTTCCCTGCCTGGATTTATTATTGTGCGTGTGTCTGAATAAACTCTTTGTGTCCCTCCCTGCACTCAGCAAGGTAACTTGCTTGGGAAAATAACAGGACTTCTTCCAAGTGATGGGAAAGATGAGACAAAAGCGCTTGGAGATGAACTTTTTTTTTTTTTTTAAATCGGCTCAGTTTAACCTCACTGGGAAAATCTCCAGGCTTCAAAGAGTTTGTGATTTAGAAGTCAGCAAAGGTTAAGAGACTGAAAACTGATGGAAGCTGGGCAATTCTTCCTGGAAATCAGAAGCAACCTCCTGGCAGATGTCCAGTGGAGGAGCAGGTGTGAATTTAGGCAATAGTTTCCATCCTCACGAGCTGATTCAGGAGATAGGTGATTAAACCCGAGGCCCTCCCCTCGACAGAAGCTCATTATTCACGGGGTCCCAGGACAGCCTGGTGATACCCAGGACTGCACCTGAGGGCAGCTGCCATCACTTGGCTTACGCCTGGGCACGGGCAGGAGAACAACACCTGGTTACCTCTCAGGCTGGGCGAAGGGCAAGAGACACTTTGTTAAACTTGAATTTGGAACTAGGAAACAGGCACCTGACATCTCTGAGCTTCTGGATAAAGGCGCTGGGAGCTAGAGGGAGTAGCTAAACTGCTGAAGCAAGGGTTGAGAAGGGCTATGTTAGCCAGAGGGTACACAGTATACAAACAGCATCTTGTCCTGAGAATAGATTCGGTCAGTGCTGAGTCAAGCCCAATTTGTCGCACCTCCAAATGGGCGATTTGGGAAGATTTTACTGGAGTGCATAGGGATAGAAAATACTTTAGGAATTGGCAGTGGCTCATTAGAGCCTCCGCCTCCCTGGTTCCCCCACTGTAGCTAAGATGGCACCTGGGGCACCAGCTGGGTTTACAGTGAGTTGTAAAAGGGAAGGTGTGTTCTGGGCCAGTACTGGAGGGTGAGCACCTGGGACTCTGGCGCCAGCCCCAGCTGTGCCCTGGCCCACTGTGACCTTGCTAGGTTACTGCACTGCTCTGAGCCCAAATCCCTCCTAAGAAATGTGTGGATGTGGGGCAAAGGATGGGGCCTGGGGATGAGTACCAATTCCTTCTGACAAACTAAAGATTCCTGTAACCCTTAGGCAAAGGCAGAGCGTGGGGACAACATGGATTTACCTAAAGGATCTGCATTGAGAGCAATTCACAATTAACCTGATTTTTAGTCTTGGTTTAACATAAACATAACATAAATTACTAGAGTTCATGTAATTTATTAAAAGCTCCTTACCAGGATTTGGGGTAATTCACCATATTATTTTGTAAAGATATTTTTTTTTTCTCCCTAGAACCCTGTAACATGTGATGGGGTTAGTGTGTGAAAGGCTTCTCATCAACCCCTCTTACCCACTTGCTTTTGCACATTGGAGTTGGTTGGGGTGACAACAGCACCTCAGTTTTCCCCGCTTTGATGTGTGAGGGAATTGCGTCACAGAGCACGAGGTGTTCTGAGGGCCCAGTTCCTCCTGCACCAAACATGGCCCTCCTGCCTTCAGGGACTTTTCCAGTTGAAATCCGGTTAAAACACATTCCTTGAAACTAAGAGAGTTTTAATAATTTCTTCCAGACAATTGAAGATGTCAATGTAAAGATTTAAGGTATTAACTTATATGAAGTTAAATTTGGATTACCCCCTCATATAACTCATTTCTGATCTTCAGATTTCTAGTTTCTAAGTAGCCTCAGGAATCTGGATACACACCAAGTTTTATGAGAGGAGCTAAATGGTTTCATCCTTTGGGAGCTCAGTCTTCTTATTTCCACATGAGGCAATTGACGGGATGACCTCCTTGGTTCTTCAAGTTTAAAGTCCATGTGAAGAGCAAACTATTGAGTGAAATTCTCCTACCCCTACTCCCTCACAAACAACGCCTTCCCTAGGCAAATAATTGGTGTACCCTTAAAATTGGGCAGCTGCCCATAGCAACTCTTGTTCTTCCCCTTTGCCAGCGGAGAACAGGCAGAAGCTTTGGGCTGATGAGCTACAGAGAGAGTATTATGAAGAACAAAGGAACGAGTATGAGAACTTCGTGGAGGAGCAAAATGATGGTAAGAGCTCATGAGTCAGTGTCTTTGGGATAATGGAGCTTTGTGGGAAATTGCATAACTTGCTCCTACTTGTCCCCAAACTGGAGATGTAAGGCAAGATGTACCTTCAACTCTTATCTATAGTTGTCTTGAAGAAAAGGGTGAAAAAACTTGAACCCGGCTCTAGCACTTGAGTAGGCACGGAAGAGGACAGAACACCTGCGTTAGCACTGGCTGGGGACTGCGGTGTTGGGAAATTTGGGGTGGACTGTTTCCTTCTCCCAATTGGGGTCACTGAGGTGGTATGTATTCTCTGTCTTAGTGCCTAAACTACTGGGTTAGTTCTGGTAGGGTCAGGTTGGAATTCAAAACTCACTTTCAAGTGCCTTGGATTCACATCAATGTAATAATGATTCTAGGAACTATTCATCCTGGCAAACCAGGGTCCTCACTTCCTTATTTACTGTAGCCAGTATCTTAGATCTAACGTGGGAGGCAAAACAGGAAAAGTAAACTCAGAAAGCACTGTTCTTATTGCCCTGCCATGGACCCTTCCCACCTGTAAGTGCCAACATGTACGGCCCGTGCTGAGGTTTCTGTGTGGGCCCTACCTCACTGCTGGCAGTGTATTCTTTGCTAAGCCTTGGCCTTTGCCACTCATTAACAAATAAAGGGAAGGAGAGTTTCTTATCAAGCCATCAGCACACTTCATACCTGCCCTCACCCCCTGGACAGGCTGAGGTCCCACCACCCTGTAGGAAGTGATTTCACCAGTTGGATGAGCAGCTGGATGTGGTGAATGTGGGTAGAGAGAAGCTGTATCTTTGAACCACACATTGCCAGGAGATTGAATTTGACTTTGTGTCTATCACATGCCTTCAAGTGTCACCCATAGCAAAAACTCATTGGAACACTTAATAGAGACCAGACCAGCAGGTGTAGGTGCATTTGTGTACATGTGTGCATGAATGTACTCATGCCTTCCTTTTTGTCTTCCCCCAAACTGAAATGGTCCTGAATAATCTCCTAGGTACACCTGAGCTTGGACATCAATTAAGGCTGCAGTTTAGGTTTTCTTTGTTAGAGAAAGTCTGCAATTTCAGTTCTGAATCATCAGCTTGCTTGCTCTGGCAGACTGGACATCCTCCTTGGACATCTCAGTGAAAAGGAAACAATCCTCAGGTTCTGGGGCTGCAGGCTAGGCCCTTGGCCCTGCAGATGGCACCTGGGTGAGCCCTGCAGAGAGGTGTTAGGCTTGGATCTCAGCAAATCAATCTTTCCAGGGAACATCATGGGGAAAACTCACTGTTGCAACAGTCAAATACTTCTGGAGATTTATTTTGGTGAACAATTTAGGGAAAAACATTTAAAAAATTAGGATGTGGCTACCAAAATTCTTGTAAGTATTTTTTTTTTACTCATAGTGCTAATAATAGCATTTTGTTTGGGGCATTTTTAAATATCCCTGGTCCAAATCCTTAGCACCTGGGTGGAAACATTCTTTTTTGTGATGAATTTTAGGGTGAGGAGTTAGGCACCTAAGTGCTGACAGGTCTTCCACCAAAGCCAGAGGAGACTATGATCAGGTCACCCAGAGATGGAGAAGACCTAATTTCAAAACCTTCGGGGACAGGGCCTCCCCAGTGGCGCAGCGGTTGAGCGCTGGGTTGCGAAGCTGCCCGCGGCCTCTGCCGCGCCGGTTCGATCCCCGGCTGCTCCCCGGCCACCGGAGGAGGATCCCACATGGCGCGCAGACCTCTCCTGCCACCCGCTGCTCCCCTCAGCAGTGTACTTCGGTCCTTCTGCCTGCTCTGCTCCCCTCTCTGGCTCTGGTGAATTCTCTCACCCTCCCGCGCTTCTGACTGTACCCAGTGCATGTATAAACAAACAAACAAATAAATAAATAAAAAACATGCCTCTATTAAAAAAAAAAAAAAAAAAGAACCTTCGGGGACAGTGACAGCAGCCGCTGTGAGGAGCACCTGCTCCATGAGGCACTGCGCTGCATCATCGGATCCTCAGACGGGCCTTACAATTCCCATCCTAATTTCAAAAGCAGAGGCTGAGAAAGGATACATAGATAGTGAGGACACAGTGAAGTTGCAGTGAGGCGTGTGAGCCAGCAAAGCTGCCGTTCTTGTAAATGAAGGGAGATCAAACATGCAGACGTCCTGGAGCCCCTCTGTGACCCAGGGGGAAGGGTCAGGAGAGGAGGGCTGAGGGTCTCCATGGCTTGACGAAAGGAGGCAAAGAGAGAGAGCGGGCCCAACCTGCCCGAGGAGAAATGTTGACAAAGGTGAAGCTGATTCCAACTTTCCTCCTTTTCTCTTGCTTCTGCCCTGGGAATGGACTCTGCACAGCAGCCAGGTTGCCTGCAACCTCGCTCTGTGGTCAGAGCATCCATCTTCTGAGTCCTCTCTGAGGTCCCCAGCTATCGTTTGTGCAGGATCCGGTTTGGGTTGGTCTTGATACGACAATGGCAAACATTCTTAGAATAATTCAGAGTGGTTGGGCATTCACCCGCGACCTGACTCATAAAAGCAAGTGCTGAGGGAGAACCATAGGTGGATAAAAGGTCTTGATTTCCGTACAAGATTGATCTTCTTCCAGTGCCCTGAAGGTCCCATCTCCAAGGCCTCCAAGGGGGTCAGGAAGGGCCAGAGCCTCATTCAGCTTCCCTGTGGCTCCAAAACCACTGGTTTCTCAAGCAAAAATGCCTTTCAAAACTACCGTTGGGAGCCCCAACATAGTACACTGAGCTCCCATTCCCATACTAAGCACCAATGAGGTGACACAGATCTGCCTCCCCTTCAAGGTCAGAGGCTTGGTCAGGTTAACCAAGGGTGGCTGCACAACACCTGGCTGGACGAAGGAAGCTTGGTCATAGGTTGTAGAGACCTGTACTTAAAAGCAACACTATCCGAGAATCAGGTCTTTATGAATGACCTAAGAAACTGCTATTTGTAAAAATCTTGCTTTCAAGTTTGGCAAGAGTGGCTGGGCTATCTGGGCTGAGAGGGCTGACCAGGGCAAAGGCTAACAGCCAAAGAAAGGCACAGCCGGGGCCTGACTCTGAGCAACAGGCTAGCACAGGGGTTCCAAGCCCCTAAGGGGATTTTCAGGGTAGAGCTAACTCCGTGCTCACATAGGAAGGAAACAGTTCCAGCAGCCATGGCACCTCAATACCCAAAGTGGCCCTTCCTGCTCAAGCACCTGGCTCTCAAGGGTGCTGAGGACCACAGGGACCACGTCTTTCCCATACCCTGAGGCCACCAGGTGATCCTGTAAGCCCTGTGAAACAAAGAATGTGTTGCACTAGCACCAAAATCGGGAAGCCCACAATGAGAAAACAGAAGCAAGGAAGACATCTTTTTGTTTTTTAACCCGTGACATTGTCTTCTACTAGTATTTCCCATCCTCCCGACATTTTTCACAAATGCTTTTTTAAAAAAATGTGGTAAAATACATAACATAAAATTTGCCACCTTAACCATCTGAAGTAATTCCAAGGCACAATGTTGTCGAACTACACCTCTCTCACTATTCCCAAAACCCTTTCACCACCTCACACTGAGAGTCTGCACTCAGCATGCAGTGTCTCCCCCACCACTACCCGTCCTGGCAACCTCTAACACATTTTCTGTTTAAGTTTGCCTATTCTAGATACTTTATCTAAGAAGAATAATTGCACAAAATTTTTCTTTTTGTACCTGGGGCACTTCATTTGGCGTATTTCAAGGTTCATTCATCTTTGTCGCAGTTATGAGAACTTCATTCCCTTTTATGGCTGAATATATCTGGGCCCACACATGTACATACTCATCTAGCTAGCTCATGGTTCGTATACTTGTTCCTGTTTTCATTTTTAGGCACATGAGCCAGGAGTGAAATTGTTGGTTATAATGTAACTCTAGGATCAGAAACATGTCTTATCAAAGAGTAAAATCAGAACTTTCTTACTTATTAAAAATCCCCTTAAGTTCTCTTTAGCTTTTTACTATGAAATATCTCAAAAAAAAAAAAAAACAAACCAACAAAACCTATATAGCCACTACCCCAAAACAACAATTGCCAAGAGTTCTGCACTTGTTCGATCCCTCCCTTTTCCAGTTAGCTTTAATATTTAAAGCTTAGAAAATAGAACAGTATAGAGGAAAAATTACTCTTATCCCATCACTTGAAGCTGACAATTCTTTCCAAGTTATTTTCTATGGTAAAGCTTGTAGTCTATGTTGCTACTTTTGTGTTTGGTTTCTTAGTTGTTATGTCTCTGAGCTAGTGTCAGCTTATAGTTCTTCCCCCCTTTGCTGGTTGTACAGGAAAGAGACTGAACTAGAATCCAAGATGCTGGCCTCAGCTCTCTTGGCCAGCAGCCCTGTGCCTTCACCTGTCTGGGCCTGATCCATAAAATGAGGCCTGTGAACTGTACTCACAGGCCCTTCCAACCTGGATGTGTGTCACCAGGCACAGAGGTGCAGGAAGCTCACGTCACCACAGGGAGGGCAGACTGGGTTGATGGCTCTCAGACGGGAATCCTCCCCATCCTAACATAATGTCTCCCTCTCTCCTCCCCAGAGCAAGAGGAGAGAAGCCGGGAGGCCATTGAGCAGTGGCGCCAGTGGCATTATGATGGTCTGTACCCATCATATCTCTATAACCGCCACATCTGACCTCATCGCTGCAGAGTCAAGATGGAGCTTGAAACATACCCCAGCACAAGGGGGGTCCAGCAACAGTCTCCCCTCAACACAGGCCCCTCTCCGTGAGGCCTGCTGGGAAACACATTTTTTTTTTCTAATGGATTAAAATGCCCTGCCTTTTGCTTCTTTGCAGATGATTTTTTGAGGTAAACAAACACTGTTGGGGTCTCCTTGTACCAAAGCTACAGTGGTTTCCCTTTGCTTAGCCATTGCTCCCCAAGTAAGATGCCTGTCTAATAGAACAATGAAAAGAATCACAGTACAGAGAGAAGGTTACATGTTTGCTTATAGCTTAGAAATAAAATCGCAGAGTCAAGATTGTGTATTATCTTCTCAAATCTCAAACTAAGTGGTGGTAACCTGTCTCCCTGCATGACAGCATCTAGGCATCTGAAAGTCTGAATTCACAGCAAATTTGCTCAGTATTCCTCAGGCATCACACAAATGAAAGAGAAATGCTAATATAAATGTTTTGGTAAAACAATCCTCTGAGACGTTTACTGAGCCAGAATGCTCCTCATGTCCTTGAAGAGTCTTAGTTCATCTGTGGTTCTTCTGCTTTAATCAGAGAAGCCACGATCACAGCAATCACAGCTGTAACCTAGACTTGAAAGCAGCTAACATTTAGTTTGGGAGTACCTCATTTTTCTTAACAGAGCCTGTCCTTAGCCTGGTTACCAAGTGAAGCAAGAGATGGTGAGGCAATCAACTGGGAGGCAGGCTTAACTCATAGGTAGCTCAGATGCTCTGTCAGGACTGTAAGACACTGGGCTAGAGAGACACATGAACTTGAACTCTATCCACATGAAACTGCCTTACAGGTTAGCCAGGAGCCAAATGTCAGGTGAAGCCCTGAGGCCAGATCCAGTCCCTGCCTCTTTAGGGTGATAACCCCAAGGTTACAGGGGATGTGTTTTACATACCTGGAAGTACAAGAGAAAAGGCAAAGCACTTCTTTCACCTCAGCCAGGCAATAGGAGTCACAGTCTGCTTGCATGGGTAGTGGTAACACACTTGCAGGATTCTGTCAAGAGGGCAGCTCCTGTTTCCTTGTGCCAGAAGCAGGTGTATGGCAGCCGATGGAGAGTAACTCTTGGCTGTACTATACAGCCACCTGTTTCAAACGGCCTGCTGCGTCCACATGAGGAAACACTGAGCTATATAGATGTCAAAAATCAAGAATGGCTGGGTGAGAGGCCAGGTTAAAAGAGTGAAACAAAACAGCCTGTCCTTGCCTCTTCAATGGCCCTGCATGACATGCTGGCTCTCGATAAAGAACTCTCACAAATATGGTCCCACTAAGAAGTCTGTTACCTTGTTCTACCCCACCACTAACAATGGCTCCATTGTACCTCAGGGATTCAAAGTCCACCCTGAATTCCTTCATTAAAAGCCAATCACAATCATTTCCCGGGCAGAGAGAAGTCTGCCAAAGGTAACAGACCAGGAATCTGGACAGCCACAGTTAATAGGAAATTAGTAATGGAGCGACCTGTATTTTTAGAGCCAGGCCTTGTCAAAAGTGTGGCCTTCGGGACATTCACTTATTTTTGAAAATTTCAAAAACTTGTTTGATGCTTTTTATCCATTTCATTTGACTGAGTTACTGTACTTCATTTTCGAGCAATTATATCCTAATTCTTTGACAAGTTTTTCAAAAACAGCAAGTTATAACTTAACCTCATGGTAACCACAGAGTAAAATGCTCTAGTACAAAGAAACAAAGTGCAGCTCTCCTGCCCACCTGTGACCATGCAGGCACCTTTTTCTTTCTCCTTTTCCAAATAAACCTGAACTTTTAAAATGCAAAACAAACAAAGGAAATGAACAAACAAAACAAAACAAAAACAAACTCTTAGATTCTGATAACAGAATGGGGGTTACCAGGGGGAAGGAAGATAGGGCAGGTGGGGGGGATCTTGAAAGGGACAAAGAGTACACTGGTAGATGGAAATCTACCAATCATAATGTAGATGTTGAAATATAATACTGTACACTTGAATTGAACTTAAACAAAACAAAATAAGCCCTTAGACTATTTTTTTTTTAAAGGTTTATTGATTGATTGATTGATACATACAAGCACTGGGTACAGTCAGAAGCGCGGGAGGGTGAGCGAATTCACCAGAGCCAGAGCGGGGAGCAGAGCAGGCAGAAGGACCGAAGTACACTGCTGAGGGGAGCAGCGGGCGGCAGGAGAGGTCTGTGCGCCCTGTGGGACCCGCCTCCAGTGGCCGGGGAGCAGCCGGGGATCGAACCGGCGCTGCAGAGGCTGCGGGCAGCTTCGCAACCCAGCGCTCAACTGCTGCGCCACCGGAGAGGCCCCGCCCTTAGACTATTGAGAACAAAACGGTGGTCACAGAAGGGAACGGGGAATGGGGTAACTGAGGTGAATGGGAACAAGATGGTGATTGTGAAGTGGCTTCTACAGATGCTGATGCTGATCTACACTACTGGGCAACTGAAGCACATATATACTTACAAGCCAGTAACACTGCAATTAAAAAAAAATTAAGGGCCTCCCCTGGTGGCACAGCGGTTGAGCACTGGGCTGCGAAACTGCCTGCAGTCTGCAGCACTGGTTCAATCCCCGGCCACCGGCGAGGGAGGGTCCTGCATGGTGCGACAGACCTCTCCTGCCGCGCCCGCTGCTCCCCTCAGCAGTGTACTTTGTCAGTCGGCCTGTTCTGTTCCCTGCTCTGGCTCTGGTGAATTCTCTCACCCTCCCGCGCTTCTGACTGTACCCAGTGCTCGTATAAATAAATAAATAAATCTTAAAAAAAAAAAAAGAAAGAAAGAAAGAATAACAAGAATCAACTGCCTATGTTTCTAGTTTTTTCGTCCTTTCTTTGGTGAAATGGCTTTGAGTTTTTACCATCTCGATCACTGCTATCTAGCTTTTTTTCTCCAAAGAGTAAGGGACATGGTGTGGGGCTTGACCAGGGAAGCACTTGTCCCAGATTTTATCTAGAGAGTTCACTGTGGGAACTTAGTTTTGGCGCCTTAGTTTTCAAAAATTTCACAGCATTTTCACAAACTGCTGTCCATTTCAGTCATTGATTTCCTCCACCTTTGTTTTTTATTATATCACCATTTCTTTCCTCACTCTTGGCAAATACAGAACTTCACTTTCCGGTCACCCTGTGTTCTATCCAAATGTCCACCCCTGGCATTAGAGATGTGTATTTCACTTGTGCAGTGGGAATCTGATGGGTTGTGATTACATCCCATGGGATGTCAAAGTGATGAGCTTAGGCAAACATCTATTCTCCTGAGTTTTAAAAATAAATGTTATCAGACACCTAATCTACTATAAACACCAAGTTTTACTTTCATTACCATCAACTTCTACACAGAAACCCAATATATGTAATCTCTTATTATCAAGCTTGCTATATATCACTTCGAATGATTTTATAAATTGAACATGGAAAAATTTTATAGTATTTTTTTTTTTTATAGAGGCATGCTTTATTTATTTGTTTGCTGGTTTGTTTGTTTGTTTTGTTTATACATGCACTGGGTACAGTCAGAAGCACGGGAGGGTGAGAGAATTCACCAGAGCCAGAGCAGGGAGCAGAGCAGGCAGAAGGACCGAAGTACACTGCTGAGGGGAGCAGCGGGCAGCAGGAGAGGTCTGCACGCCATGTGGGACCCTCCTCCGGTGGCCGGGGAGCAGCCGGGGATCGAACCGGCGCCGCAGAGGCCGCGGGCAGCTTCGCAACCCAGCGCTCAACCGCTGCGCCACCGGGGAGGCCCGAACATGGAAAAATTTTAGTTAAAATTTTAAGTTCTTTTTTATTTATTTATTTATTTGTTTGTTTGTTTATACATGCACTGGGTACAAGTCAGAAACGCGGGAGGGTGAGAGAATTCACCAGAGCCAGAGTGGGGAGCAGAGCAGGCAGAAGGACTGAAGTACACTGCTGAGGGGAGCAGCGGGCGGCAGGAGAGGTCTGTGCGCCATGTGGGACCCTCCTCCGGTGGCCGGGAAGCAGCCGGGGATCGAACCGGCGCCGCAGAGGCTGCGGGCAGCTTCGCAACCCAGCGCTCAACCGCTGCGCCACCGGGGAGGCCCTAAAGTTTTAAGTTCTTTGGGAGGGAAATTCTATATCAAATCATTCAAAAGTTCCTCATTTGCTCTTTTGGAACACTGTTATCTAAAATTATTTCACTTTTTCTTTTTTTGTTGTTTGGAAGGGAAATTTATTTTAATAAATTTCAAAAGGTGTTTTTTCCTTAAACAGTGACCATTTCCTTTAAACAGAAAAAGGCACAGAGGGAAAAAAAAGAGGAAGATACCCAAAAAGAAAAGAAAAGAAAGAAAAATCTGTTGTGAAAACTGTAACATTCAGATCACCCAGGTTCAACTACGCAGGGCATAGCCAGTACTATTTGCTAATTTAGATCACTGCGTACTTATTTCCCTCTTTTGACAGGCTGTAATTACACAATAAACCCTGCATTGCCAATGATGGAGCAGGGTCAGAAAAAAATTTAAACACACATTTTGGATTTACATGAAGCATTTAATAAAGAGGGTAGAATTAAAAAGATTGATCTCATTGATGAATCATTTTCAATGTTAACAAGTAAGCCCCCTTTTCCTTCTCATCGCTGAATATACTATGAAAGTGCACACAAAGCACCTTAAATCAAACACAGCCCCCAAGATCTAGTAACTGAGAAGGAACTCAACTATATTTGAAAAAATGTAAAAATTTTAAATTAAAATTTAAAAAAGGTGATTCAGTTCACTATCAATCTTTACAGGAATACTACACTACTTATCTATAACATACAAGTGACACTCTTGGGTAAAAGGACAATTTCTAGGCAGTTGCTCCATTGCTATTTTAAATTCATGGGACAAATAAATCTACTCTAAAAAATCAGAGTTTCAAGTACTTTTCTATTCTAATTAAGAATTGAACACTTAATTCTCTTGTTAGTTAAAAATTAAAAAACAAAACAAAACAAGCCTTCTGGAACTGAAGTACTCCTTAAAGTATAGTGTTTAGGATATGCCCATCGGGGAGACACAGAGTCACAGACAACCTTCCACCCATACTGAGCCAAATTTTATGGGATCTAAGGCACGTGAATTTTACTTTTGGATTTTTAAAACCTAAATCAACCATCACTCACCCACCAAGCATCTCCCATAATTGTCAAGTTTCCACCATAATACCATCTCAAGGGAAACCAAACTTTCTTTCTAACTAGAGTTAAAATCCCAATATAATCCTAACAATTTACCCAATCTTTAGGTGCTATCTGCATTCACTTAGCTCAAATGATATTTGGAAAATCAGTCTGCCTAATCAGAGGAACCCCCTAGATGGAAGTTTCCTGTGCTAATTTATATGAGGTCTGAACTTTAATTCTTGATATGTATAATATCTGCAAACCCCAAACTCCATGAGATTCTGTCTTATTTCTGGCATGTTTCTGATTTTTAATCATGCCTCACAGTTTCTTAAATTTGACATTCAATTTGGTTAGAAATTCTAGTTTCTTTAAAGCATACTTTAAAATGATGAGATTTTAGGTATATCTATTACAGAACTCTGTGATGCTATGAGGGCGCAGAGAGCCATAGAATAGTATCAACATATCAAGTCTATATAACAACGGCAATAATCATAGTTATCTAGATAAGTTACATTATTTGTAGTATTTGAGGCTGAATGATGTTCTTCAAGACCATTTAGTTCAACCATTTTCATTTTGTACATAAAGAAACTGAAGTCCAGAAACTAAGCAACATAACTGGGGTAAATTAAGTTAATTCTTTGCCTCTAGTGTCCATATAAATACTAGAACCTTATTATGATAAAGAAGCCACGCCACAAATTTTACAAACCAACAGATGCAGAAACACAGCTCTCAATTTATCTTCCAGTTTTGGGGGGTTAACTGTGTGACCAGAGAACAGGGAAGACAATGACATCGTGATTTTCCACTTAACGGTAAAACATTAAACCTTGTGTCAACCAAAATATTGAAGAAAGTAAGTACGTAAGGCTAGTAGGCTTAACAGTTGTTTTGACCGTCAATCAGGAACATAAACCATACAGGGCCAATACCTTGCTTTTCCAGAGTCACAGGGAGCAATGTAGATTGTACTTAAATGTTTGTAGTCAGGGCTATTTAAGGCTATTCAGAAATTTGGCATGTTCTTCACCTCTTGGTAATAAAGTTTCTCCTCCTATCTTTGGACCTGTCTTTTCCTAGGAAAATGAAAATATTTTAATAAAAAACAGGTCAACATTATTTGCATGGATCACTAATACTTGTCAACCTGTAAATGACATACCTTTAGCATTCCGTCCCGTTCCCATTTGAAGAGGCCACAGTTACTGAAACAGAAGACATGGGATTTACTTAGCGGTGAGGTGCACACCCACACACATAAAGATAACGCTGCTCACTGCATCCACCAGATGCTGATAAATATGACACTCCTATTGCAAGTTACACTCTAATGCTACTGGAAACATATTCTTTAATGATCTGACAAATGGTCTTCAACTCTGTAATAAACTAGATACTTCAGAAATGGAAGTCCAAGCAAGAGTACAACAGGCTATGCACACTGGAGCCATGAGTGCAAGCCTGGCTCCCCCTGATGGTTGCCGGATGACACCAGATTTAGGATGCGGTCTCTGGCGCTGTCCAGTCATGGTTTGCCCCTTTCTCTTTTGCTGTAACTAAAAGGTTGTCATAAAAAAAATTAATCTTCTGGAACTGAATATCCCTTCCCCGCTTCTTTATCACCTAAGACTTACTCTTCTATTATTCAGTGGGCTTAGAGCCTCTTGTTCTTATTTTCTAATGTGAGGGGGGTGTCCAAGCACAAAAGGAAGGTGACTACTATGGGGAAAGCTTATTTTCCACAAAGTTTACTCTGGGAAACCTAATATATTTACTATGTGACATTCTAAAAAAAGTTTGCCAACTTTTGCTCTAGATCAAGAAATAACTAGAGAAGTTCAGAGAACGTTCTTACAAGAATAACAGCACCACCTGAAGGCTGAAGAGGCATCTTGATCTTCCATTTGTGAGTTGTACTTATTGAACAGAACTTTTTTGATACTTCAGTATCTTGTCTACAATCCTATAACTACGATATTTTTGAGAAGTCATCTATTGATAGACAAATAGCTACTTTAAAAAATTATAATCTAGATGTAAAAATTCACAACCAACTCTTAATTAGGTGATAGACTAGTATGAGGTACTGACTAGACTGTAAAAACTCACAACCAACTCTGAATTGGGTGATAGACTAGCACGAGGTACTGAATCATTTCCCCAATCAGTCTGGAGAAACTGTAGGGGAGAGTTAAGTACAGGTTCCAGGAATTGAGCAATAATCAAATGACCAAATAAATAGTGAGATTATCCAGGTAAGACATTCTTGGGAAGACTAAAGGTGATCTTGAAATTGCCACAAATTCTAAAGGATTGATATCATACTAAAAAATTACATCCTTAAAGAATAATGTAATAAAGCCAGAATTTAATAACCAAAAAAAGATAGCTAAAATCAATCTCATATATTTCAAAATTAAACATTACTAATCTTTGGGTCAAAAAGGAAATCATAAATCATTAAGAAACACTTTTGATAACATGTCAAATTTTTTGGGAGACTGCTAAAGCAGGACTACTTTGAGGAAACTATGTAACTTTAAACACATTTATGAGGAAATGATAAATATTAAAAAATAGTAAGTTAAAATTAAGCATTTAATGGAATAAGTTGGCAAAAGGGCACAAAACAAACTCAGAGAAACAAGAAGGGCAGAAAGATAAAGTGGAAGTCACCAAGGGAGAAAGAAAATCAATAAACATTAAAAAAACTAAAAGACAGTTTCTGAAAAGAGTAACAATAAAGAGTTCTGCCAAGGGTGATCCTGAAAAAGAAAAGAAAAAAAATCCTAAATACCTGTTAATAAAAAATAGCATGTAACAGATTGTAAGATATTAAGTGTATTAGGAACATCCATATATGAATAAATTTGCAAATGATAAAAATGAATTCCTAAAACAATTAAAAATGCTGAAACTGTCAGAAAGCTGCCCAGTTTGAAACTCATATAATCTTGATTTTAAATCAAATAGGAACTATATAAAGAAAAAAAGAGTGATTTCACTTATGAATGTAGATACAAAAAAATCCTCATAAAATATCAATTAATTGAATATAACAGTGCACTGAATTAAAATTTATCAAGGAGGGTTTATTTAAGAAATAAAAAGTAAGTTCGACTTCAGAAAAATCAAAGATATGTACCACATCGATAAAAGAAAAGGAATCATACAATGAAAAAATCTAATAACACAGTAAATTAGGGACAGAAAGGACCCTCCTTAACCTGGTGGAAGCTATGTTAAAATAGAAATTTTGATGCCTACACTTTCAGGTAAAGATCAAGAAATGGAAGCTCGCTGTCATCCCTACTATTTAGTATAGTCCTGAAGGTTCTGGCCCACCCTATAAGGAAAGAAAAAGCAATAGGTTTAAGGGCCAGGGTAAAACTGAAGGGCCTCCCTGGTGGCGTAGAGGTTAAGTTTCAGTGCTATCACTATGACATCATGAGTTCGATCCCTGGCTAGGGAGCTAACCCATAGATGATGCAGCAGACCTCTCCTGTCTCGCCTGCTGCTCCCCTTAGCAGTGTATTTCAGTAGATCTGCCTGCTCTGCTCCCCACTCTCTCTCACCCCCACACCTCTGGCCTACATCCTAGTTCTTCTGCACAAAAATAAAAATTAAAAAAAAAAAGCAAACAAAAACAAATCCTGAAAAAACTTCCATTATTTGTGAAGGATCATCTACCTCAAGAAAACAACAGACAAGGGACTAGAGTTAAGTTCAGCAAGCTTGTTAGAGGCAAGATCAAAGTACGAAAAAGTTAATGTTTCTCTACACCAACAATAAGCAACTAAAAAACAGCAAAAAATAAGTCACCATGTACAATTACATCAAAAACTATAGCTTACTGAAGAAATAACTAAGACTACTCAAGGCCTCATTGGAGACCATTTTAAAACTTAAAAAAAGCTTTAGATGATGACATGAATAAATGGAAAGAAACTCCATGATAGGATGATATCAGTCTGCTGCAAAAATTATTTTACTCTTTTAATGCAATCCTAATCAAGACTGCTACTTCTGGGTGGGATAGAGTCCTTCTGCTGAGTCCAATGTTCTGTTAGAACAACAACTAGAAAAACCGAATGCATGTAGAAAAATCATGTATCTGAAGGCGGGGTAAAGTTGCTGAGGCAATAACTAGGGGTAGAACCTGACTGGGTAGAAGCTTGAAGAGAAATGCTCACTTCTGTGGCCACTTTTGCCCCAGGAGTGATCTAGGTGTCCACAGATAACATGTGATAGTCGCTGAGCACAGGGTGACAGACGTACACTGAGCAAACAGGCACCCTAAAACCAGAGCCAAGGAAAGAGATGTGTGACACTGTACCATTTACATAAAATAAGAGCAAATGCATATAAATGGTACACATTTTACAACAAACACAAGGATGACATTAATCGTGTTACGATAGTTGATTCTGGTGTTAAGGGGTGGACATGTGGAAGGTGCTAAAAGGAATACATAAATAAGATGAGGAGGCCAGGCACTGAGCAAGCCAGTGATTGTGATGTACCACAGGTGCGATCCATCCACCCTGATCCCCACAGGCTGTTTTCCCTTTGTGTTCTATGGAAATGACGCTTCCTGTGAATAGTCCAATACAGCAGTTTCACGGCTGCATTTGAAGTTCCCCTCCAAAAGTAGAAACAAAATCAGACAAAAGACCCTAACAGCACATTTACATGTTAAAGAAAAAGTTTTTAACAAATAGCTCCTTGGAGTGGAGGGAAAGAAGTCCCATAAACACACTTATATTCCCCATCCCCACTCTACCCATACTTCATTACTTATTCAACAAATGTACTGGAGGACAGGAGCTTCTACATGAAGGCACAGGAATAAGGTCTGACTTTCACAAATAAATATCCAATGAGCAGCAACATGTGGTACTTGGTGGAAAGGGATGAAGAACCTAGATGAGACCAAGAACCAGGCGAGTTGCATACCTGCAGTGCTTTTTGGGGAGTCTGTCAAGGGAGATACTTCTGTTTCCACAGGGGCACTTGAAAAATCTCTTCACTCCATCATGCCAGTGGTAGTCATGTTGCTCGCTGACGCATGTCTCCAAAGGCTTGAAGTGGGTGTAGGCGCACTGCGTAAAACCAACAGAAATATATGCTCAGCCGGGACTTTGAAGGAGAAATGGGTTAGCTGTTGTGAGCACAACATCTGCCAGGAGAACTTCTCTTCTTTCCTCACAATCAGGCAGGTGCTGACAGAGTTACCTTACCTTACCTTCCAGAAGGCATGACCATGCCCCAATTTCTCGTCAGGCACAAAGCACACAATATAACTTCTGTGACCTCATGGCAGTATTAAGGGCAGAGGAACTACTGGAAATTTCTAAGTTGCAGCAGTTGTCTGTCCCATACTCAGTGTAGTCATTTAGTTATAGGCTACTGGGGTGCAGAGCCTATTTAGGAAGGCTGATCAGTGGCGCTTTCATTTTGTCTTAAGAGGCCACTGAGAGAGGCCTTAGATTACTTATTATTACTTCCATTTCATAAGCAACAAAACCAAAACAGAGCTATTAAGCAAGTCACTTTCAATTTTGATCTTCCATAGGACTGAGGAGAATTAAGAAATGGTGGGTGTCCTGCCAGGTCATAACAGCACAAAACGGGCCCATGGCCACAGCCACTTTCACTCACTGTCTTGCATGTCACTACTCGACATTTCACTTCTTTGATGTTTCTCATCTTTTCTTCCATTTGCTCTTTTTTCACCAGTGGCTCAAAGTAACGTTCCTGCAGTTCAGCCTCAGCCTAGAATGACAAGGCATATGGAAGATCTTGTACCAGGTTAAACATACACTCAGGCAGCAGCTCACACTCATCACAACAGACTGATGAGCTAAACTGTTATGAAGTCATTTGATAAGCTGTAAACCAAAAGACAGTAAATATACATAAACCCTTAATCTATACCACCCCACCCCACAAAAAAGGAGGGGGTATGAAAGTACTTGGTGATTATGAAAACTCTAAATACAAACTTAAAATACTAACATTACAGGCTCAGGTTATGGAAGTAATTCAATGTTCCCCCAGTGATGTCAGCCCAGTCTATTCCATACTGTTATCTAGACCAAGCACTTGTCAGGAGCAAACCCTGGGTGTTTGGAACAAGAGGGAGAGTGTGAGGGCAGAGATATTCAGATAGGATGTGGTCACAGCTCTGGAATTAGTGCAGTGGCACAAAGCAGGAGGTACAAGAACCCAGGGTCTTTGGTAGACACAAAAGACAAGGCACTCAACTCTACAGCCATCCCATGTTGGCTAGAGTGTATCTCCTGGCAGTTTCATGTCCCACAGAAAGACATGATCTATAACTATCTCACTGTTCCTCTGAGGACCAAAACAAACCCAGATCAGAGTATTGGCACTAAATGGGGAATCCAAGGGGTTGCATGAAAATTTGTTAACCCAGTGACTTGTTACCCCAGCTGTTACCCCAGCAGGGCCCAGGAATGCTAAATCTTACACAATACATGGAACACTGCCCACACAATGAGGGATTCTTCTGAATGTTCCAGAGGGCATCCAAGAGGATGAAAAATCCTATTGCAACACTAGCACCTAACTGCTTTATGTAAAACCCTAATGTATTTGTGCAGGATAAATACTGACTTTTCCAAGAATGAAAGTAGGCAACTGTGTATCTGTAGGGACAAAGATACTTAGGTGTATTCAAAAGTTTCCCAGAAATATTCACTTTGATTTTTAATTCACACTGTCAAAGACATAGGTCCACAGTATTTAAATGACCACGAAAAAGCAGCTATGGGAGGCTTCCTTTCAGACTCACACTAGTAAATCCAAGCCTCTCACAACTTTATTTCTCTAGGGGAGCTGTCCCCATATATATAAAAAATGAAATACATATTTTTTGCTATATTTCCCTTCTCTTTACATTACATCTAGGACATTAAATCGGTATTTCTAAAATTACTAGGTAGGTAATCAATATTATCGTCAAGATTTATTTCAGGATAAGGGATCAATATAAAATGGCCCAGGTTATAGAAGTAATTCCATAACCTTGTTATTAAAAAGGAACTCCTTGGGAATGTTGGGTTGACAAATACTGATGCAGAGCATTTGAAATAGTAATATAAAAATATCCCTTTCCATGTTGCAAGACAGAAAACAGAAACAGTAGTGATTCAGTGACAGTCATAACTGCAGGAAGATATTTTTGTAATAATGACTACTTAAATATTAAATGACATTCTTCAATGCAGGGAGAAAGGCAAAGCTGAAAACTGATTAGAAATATTCCTGCTCTTAGAAGCAAACTCAAACTGACATCTATCTACATCTTAGTTTAGGAAAAAGAAATAGGTTCTTAGTCCCATAACAAAGCACTTCTGGTCTGACACCTCTATCAGCTTTGGTCTTCTGGCCTTTTACCTCTTTTAGAATCCCCGTGTGCTTAGATTTTGCTTTTAGAATTTTCTGAAACTCCTCAGATTCCAGGTAGGCAAGTTGTTCTCTCCTTCTTTTTCTGGCAGGTTCCAATTCATTCTCACCTATAGCAAAAAGGAAAAACATTTGCTGCTACAGAGGAATTTCAGAAAGCAAGTATACCTTATCAACTCAGCTTCCCTCTATTTTCTGCCTTGGCCATGAGGCCCTTCACACTTAATTCACCCCACTAGGTACAAGCAGAAGAAAGCTCTTCAGAAATGAGGGGTGAATATGGGGAAATAGAATACTGGGGGGAGCGGGTAGGATGGTATGTTTGACCACTGGATTAGAATGCCCTTTTCACCTTAAACAGGAACTGATTATGATAACAGATAGTAACAATAAAAGTTCTAATTACAAAGTGATGTTAAAATGATAATTGCCAATCACAGAGTTTTAAAAATAAAAATAGGACAAAACAAGGGATTTAGTTCTTTCAAAGTAAATCTTTACACATGCACAAAGACCCAATGAGTAATTCTTTTCTTAAATTTTCAGATAATTTCATTTCAATTACATGTGATTATAAAATACCATCAGTTCCAGTTGCAGGCCTTCTTTGTAGGTACTCCACACAGAGGTAATTTCAAGTAAAGTAATGACTTCTGATGCCAGGGACACTGGTTATATATTAGAACATTTCCTTTACAAAAGGTTTTGCTTCCCCTTGCTACTTTGAAATCTGTAGTACCTTGAGCAGGAAATGTGTTCTTTTCTACACGTTCCTTCATTTCCAGCACATCCTGGGGTCCCTTTTGCTTCTTTTTAATGGTGTTTGGATCTGTTTTTGTAAGAATTTGGCCTTTTGCCCTTAATTTGGCAATAGCTGCTAACTAGGAAAAAATGAGATGAAGGTAAAAATCTAAAAGATAAGATACCCCTTTCCCATTATTGTTAATCAGTGGACTCTGATTGTTCCCCAATATAAATGTACAAAATATAGTTTCATTTTATTTGACATTATTAAGATAATGTTAATTAACCTAATTTAGAATTAGACAGAATCCAGACAGAATGCCACTTACTAGTTTGTAACATAATTTTTTAACTTAAGTTTCTACATTTATAAAATGGGGATGATAGTATTTACCTATCTTTGAAAGTTGCAGCTGTGTAGATAAAATGAGATAATACATGTAGAACATGCTCCTTCACATAGTAAATGTGTGCATCTTTTTAACCAGAGTAACAGTAATAAACACATGCAATCGTTACTATTATTACCATCAGTGTGGTTTTGCCTTATAGCTAGATTTGCCCTTAATGTGGTTATAGTTGTTAGTTAACAGAGTAAAGAAGAGAGAGGCTCAAGTTGGGGGCTCGGGGTGACTTAGGAAGGGAGAAGTGGAATGTGTTCAACAGGTGAGAGCCTGACTGCCCCAACTCCACTTCCATCAGAATACCTGAGCTACAGAATACCTGTCTACAGAGTGGGCTTCTGTGTAAGATTTTTTTTAAAGAAGAATTCTTGAAACCATTATTTCAATCTCAATAACTGTAAGAATTTTTTCCCCTAATGCCAATGTCTCCAGCTATTAGCCTGACAAGAAACAGCACTCAGATAATGGCTAATTTTCTTGGATTGAATTAAAGGCATTATTATGATGACACTTGTATCACTTAAAATCCTCTTGACATTAATTTTCATGATCAATAAATCGCTATTAGTTGCCTGTTGTTCCCAGTCAGAGGTATATAAAGTTAGAAATGCCAGTTGTGCCCTACAAAATGCAATTCCAAGTTCCGAAGAAAACAGACAACACTTACTTTTTTGGCTTCTGCTAAAGCACTCAGTCTTGGTCTTGGTGGTGGTGACTCATCAAAAAAGAGGACATCATCTCCTTCTGAGATGCCTCGCCCAAGCTGGGGTGTCTGTGCGGCTGGGGATCCTTCTAGTCTGCGGAACTCAGCCCCAGTGCGTAGTGACTGGGAGGAGGGCTGTCGAGAAGAAGGTGGCATCACTGGGCTCTTGACCTCCATTGAGCTTTGAAGAAATCTTTAAAGACACATGCAATCACAGAACATGGAGATGGCACTTTATAAAGACAAAAACTATGGGAACTGGGAGCCTGTTGGTAGGCACCAGCTGATGAGTAGTGGTTAGTAACCTAATTTCTCCCCCTTGCTTAGTAATTCAGGTTAGCACACAACTATTTCATTAACCCTCCAGTTAAAGGATTTTTCATTAAATATGTTCGAACTGCTTTACCCGTTTAGACCTGGTAATTATGTTTTATAAATCGGCTTTCCAGTGGGTGCCATCTGTAGTTCACAACCCTGAAGTTTTGAGGCTGATTGTATTTCATGACCAATAAATAGCTATCAGGTGCCTGTTGTTCTCAGTAAGAGAAACTCATGTATTTTAGTTTATGCCACAGAGAAGAAATAACACACGCAATAACAGTGCTATTATCTCTTTTACAAAGACATGCTATCAGCTACACAGTGATTACTTTATATATGGCTTTTAAAGGCAACTTAAAAATAAACTTCAGGGCCTCCCTGGTGGCGCAAGGGGTTGAGATGCAACCTATGAAGCTATCCACAGCCACTAAAGCACCAGTTCCATCACCGGCCAGGGAGCTTCCCACATGGCACAGCAGACCTCTCCTGACTTGCCTGCTGCTCCCCTCAGCAGTGTATTTCAGTCAGTCTGCCTATTCTGTTCCCTACTCTGTCTCTGGTGAATCCTCTTATCCCCCACACCTCTGGCCCATACCCCAGTTCTTATAATGCATGGATAAGTAAATCTTTAAAAAAATGAATAAATAAACTTCAGACATCATCTAGTCCAAGCCTCTCATTTTATAAATGGAAAAAAAAAAAATTGAGGTCAAGAACCTACTGATCATAAGTCATAAGCTCAGGTTTAGTACCAGCTGCTGCCAGGCCAGTACTATCTCCACTACTGCATACCCCACTCTTGAAGTTCTGTGCTGAGTTTACAAAATGCCTTTCAGATTTTGCCCGAAGATAAATTGTTTGGCCAGTAAAAATGTCAAATTGTAATGCCTTTAAACTGACCAGTATTCTTTATTTTTATTACTATTTATTATATATTCTGTTGTGAACGTGTTCACAACTTCACGTTTTTATGTATCTGCATATGTATGTGCTTCCTGTAGGCACATGATGATATACCTAGCTATCCCATTAGCACCTCAAATTAACCTGCCTGAGGTTAAATTCATTTTTTTATTTTTCCAAAGAATTTCCTCTGGGCTTATAATTGATTTTCCTTTCCAAGGAGCCAATCACCTTGCAGCAGCCCAGATTTGAGACAGTGTTAACAATTCAACATTGGAGTAGAACAGGCCGGTCACCTATTAGTTCTCTGGCTTATTCATAAGCCAGTTACATTATTCATAAAACAAGGGTAATTGCTCACAGATTGTCTGAAGACTGAATGAGAGACCCTGCATTCACGCAGTGTAGAGCATGGTGCTCCAGACAGGCCAGGTGTCTATAAACAGTAGTTTCTACAACTACTCAGATGACTTGAGCTCAAGAACCTTCAATTTCTCCACTTCCTATGTGCATTTCCACTTGCAAGAGAGATGACTCCATTTTTAGTGCCTCATTTTTGTCATTTCCCTGAACAACTACAGCATCTTCTCATTGGCTCTGCCTGTAATTTAAAGCCTAATTTTGGCAAAATTAAGAAGCATAGTCAAATATAAGATCCTCTTCTTGGGTTGTCCCTTTCTCTTTTTCAGAGATATTCAGTACTATAATTTATACCACTAGGGTTAAGGATTCGCTAGCATAAGCTAGCAATATATGTAGCCTTAAATGTTAGTAAGGTTAAAATTATTTTAAAACTTTCAAAGTTGAAAATGTAGCAACCATCCAAAATCTAAAGTGACATTTTTGAAATCTCTTAAGACATTTTCAGGATTCCTAAGATGAATTATCTAATGAAGAATTATAAAATCTATTACTCTTACCGTTTCTGAATTTCCTCTGATTTCTTTTTCCTCATCTCCAACATATGCTGCTTCTGCTGCTTCAGGAGGGCTGATGCCGAGATAGACTGGATAGCAGGTTGCGGGCTCCCCAGGATCCCTAAAACACAAGCCACAGACTAAGTGTTCTGCGAGGCTGGAGAACTCAGTTGTGGACACGAGAGCAGGTATAGGTTATTTCTACCTGATGACTTGGCTTTGGCTAAATGCTGTTTCAAGTTTCTGGCCCCAAATGTAGGCAAGTCCATCAATTCTTTGAATTCCTCAGAGCAAGACAGGCTCTTCTGAGGTATTCCTGGAATATACAAACATAGCTTTAGATGTCATGTGACTTATCACTCTGCATTTGTAACTCAATCATTTGCAAACAAAGTAGGTGGAACATTAAAAGAAAAAATAATCCTTCACTTCTAACATCAGATTACTAGGAATGAAAGAGTAAGACAAATGTATCTTATTTCAAGTTACGATTAGAATATTAATCTGTGGGGTCTTTCTGTACACTATTTCTGGACATGCCTTGACCAGAACTATGAATAAAATCACAAGCATAGGATGAAAGTGGTATTCTCTTAATGAAAGATAGCTTTGACATAGAAAGTGTTATTACTAAGTCTATTGCTTAGACAGCTGATATGAATATCCCTTTTTGTCTTAATATGTTTAATATGAAGAAACCAAGCTTGATTCCACATCACTGTGGCTGAATATAGGTGATGAGCAGGTATTTAGAATTTCAGAATATGAACTGTGACCATTTTAACCCTAAAAAAATGCATATGTAAGCTGAAGAAAGAAATACAGTATGAGAAACAGTTACCAAGCTTTCTTTGCGTTTCCTGAATGACCAAGTCTGCACCCTTCACAACCAGATTAGTCAGAGTGGTTTGAACCTTCTTTTTAGGAGCAACAGCTGCAGCACTGAAATGACATGTCATCCCAAAGAAAATCATTGCACTTTAATGCTCTGATGAGACAAAGCAAATATGCAAGTATCCATTTACGTCAAACTTTCCCAAAGCAGGGCTTATGCTGACTTCTTTATACCATGGCCCCAGAGCACAACTGGTACATGCATTATGTTACTGATGTAAAAACACAGCAACCTACAAATCTGCTTAGGCCATTCTGAAGAAGCAATTTGACAAAAGAAGTAAAAATAAGCCAACACTTTGATCAAGCAGTTAGGAATTTATCTTAAAATAACTAAAGATTATTAAAAAATTTAGGATATTAATGAAGTTTTGTTTGTATTGTTATAGTTGAAAATATTGCTAATGTTTAAACACAGGTGATATTTACACAAGCCCTCACAAGTCATGTAAAAGAACACTTATGTATTTTACTAAAAAATAATGCCTTAAGTGAATATTTGACAAGGAAAACATTTTATGTGGGCGGGAGATTATAACATATAGGTAAAGTGTAACCTCATTCTATATTAATAGAAATGTATACATATGGGAAAAAAAGGAACTATCAGTTATCTATGTGGTAGAATTATATATGGTGTTTATTATTTGCTTTTGGCTGACTAGCATATATCTTTATAATGAACATGTACTGCTTTTTGCAGGATTTTAAATTTTAAAAATATGCTTGATACTACAAAATAGACAGTCTAAGTCCCCTTGTCCAATTTTTGTTGGATTGGAAGCAAAATCTGCGTTTTGCCCTTGGGCCAATTCTAGTACTCTTGTGCCAGGTTCCCACCTGTCATGTCCGCAGGTGTGCTTTCAACAACATGGCAACGAGTCATCTATCAATTACTTCCGGGACTCTATGGAGAGCCTGTGAGAGGCCACTAATGCCTGCCCCAGCAGGAGTCCCCTGCCCTGTGTGAGGGTTCGCAGCCTATTCATTCACTGAGGAAACAGGACTACTAAGAGGCCAGCAATTTCACCATAACAGTTGTGTGGTAGTTGATTTAAAGGATGCCAACATTATGATTACAATCAGCTCTGACAAACATACACTATTCACATTAGAAGCCAAAAAGACAGTGTGGTTCTATGTTAAAACACCATCACGACATAGGCTCACTTCCATTCTCCCCTTCTGTGTTATCCTCTCTACCTGGGACTACAGAGGTCTTTCTCTATCTCAATCCAGGCAGGTAAGGAAAGGTCAGACCTGTACAAGTCTTCCAGGGCAGTTACAGAAAAGTACAACCATAGGATTTATTCTTACAGAAGACTTGCAAGATCCACATCCCAAAAGAAGCCCTGAGAATGTCTTACATCGAGGCTGCATATGATTCTGAAGAAACTCCTCCATAGTGAAAACCACCCTGGCACAGCCGTTCTTTTAGGCTGATGACCTTGCGGGCAAACTTCTTTGGAATGCGTCCACCAGAGAAAGTGGATTGCAAGTCGGAGCGCTTTGCACTGAGCTTCTTGTACTGGGCCTGGATATGATACTGGCAGTATTCACAGTCATTCTGCAAAAGAGGAATTGTGGCGGCATCAGGATTAGGGGAACCAATGGGGAACCAATGGGGAAAAAATGTTTAAGTAGACACAGTTCCTTTCTTCCAAGCTTCAGAGCCCTCCCAGCTGACCTCCAAGGCCGTTCCCAAAGTGCAATTACTTCCTACTTAAAGCACTAGTTGGATAAAAGAAAAAGTGACTCATTCTCTGCCCTCTTTCTACAATGGGAATACTACCAGTTTTTAGGATAATCTTGAAACACTACAGCAAGCAAAAGCACTTGGACAAAAAGTCACGTGCTGTGATTTCACCAGCTATTTAGAGCAGCCAAGCCCACAAAAACAGGGGATGGTGATAAGGGGATGGCAGCTACTTATGTTTCTAGGATATGAAAAGGTTTTGAAACTGGAGAGCTGATGGTGGCCCAACATTGTGAATACACAAAATGCCACTAAACTGCAAAGATTTAAATGGTTGATTATATGTTGTATGAATTTTCTCTTGATTAAAATTAATCTAAAAAAATTAAAATCTACATCCAGCGAGGTTTCTCTGGCTAACTCTTGGTTAGGCCTCTCATTGAAAGGAACAAAGCAAAACAATGGTACAATGGTTCTATTGGGTGAACCCTTAGAAATGGTGACAATAGATTTTTAATGATTGGCTAGATCATTATCTTAAGGGCTACTTAAGTGGAGACCCAACAAGCATTCCACTCATTTCACTCTTTTCCAACTATCTCCCTTCTATCTATCTCCTGCTCACTAATTCATTTCTTAAGGCAGGAATGGGGGAAATAAACCAAATGAAACCAAAACCTGTCATTTGATCCCACAAATATTAAGGAACTGGAATCTATATATACTACTGGTGAGACTGTAAGTTATTTTAAAACCAGAATGTCAGTTCCTCAAAAGCCTAAACATAGAGTTAACATCTGACCCAGCAATTCCACTTCAGGTATAAAACCAAGGGGAATGGAAACATACATCCACAGAAAAACTCAAATGTAATATTTGTAACAGCATATTCAAAATATCCAAATCTGGAAACAAGCCAACGAATGAATGCTTAAACAAAATGTGGTATAGGAACACAATGCAGTATTATTCAAACTTAAAAAAAGCACAGATGCTACTACAACATGGAAATACAACTTAAAAACATTGCTTTAAATGAAAGAAGACACAACAGGCCATATTTTAAGATGCCACTGTATGGCTTGTCCAGTCAGGCAAATCAATAGAAATGGAAAGTACATTAATGCTTACCAGGGGCTAGGAGAGTGACTACTAATGGAGATAGGATTTTGGGGGGAAGGAAAGGAGGCACAAAAAATGTTCTTAAGTTACACAGGGTAATGGTTGTACAAGTCTTGAAAATAATAAAAATTATTGAAATATATACTTTAAAAGGGTGAGCTATGTGATACATATTTCCATGAAGCTATAAAGTTATAAGGATAGGTAAAATAGAGTTAAAGTAATATTAAAATAGGTTTTTGATGTGTTTTATCATAAGGTTTGATCTCTGGCACTACAAAGAATTCAGGGCAAACTAAAATTCTGCAAACCAAATTTCTCATTCTTTCTACTCAGCTGACAATAAAAGATTACTTTCCTAAGAGAGTAAAACCTTCCTCCAACCTCAACTTTTTAAATCAGTAATTATTAATTACATATACAAATTTTCCTTTCATTCTTTCTGATATGTAGGAAAACTCGGGTACAAATTAGTTGTTACACCTGAAATACATAAGATTTATTCCTATTAGCTCTTTTCTTTAGCATAAACCATCCTAAGAAGGTTGAAACCAACCAAATTAACAGTCTGTGTACATGGTTCTCCATTCTTCTTCTTTGCTTTACAGGTTCCCAGGTCAAGAGCTTCACCCATAATTAAGATCTTTTGAGGATGATCAATAGATAAACACACCTGTAGAAAAAAGGTGAGGTCAGAGTTAAAAGCGGACAAAGGTATGGTCTTTTGACCACCAAAAATGGATGAAAGAGGGGCCTCCCCGGTGGCGTGAGGGGTTAAGATGCAACCTATGAAGCTATCCGCAGCCACTGCAGCATGAGTTCTATCCCCGGCCAGGGAGCTACCTACATGGTGCAGCAGACCTCTCCTGTCTCACCCACAGCTCCCCTCAGCAGTGTATTTCAGTCAACCTGTCTGTTCTGTTCCCCACTCTGTCTCTGGTGAATCCTCTCACCCCCCGCATCTCTGGCCAGTACCCCAGTTCTTCTATGCATAAATAAATAAATCTGGGGAAAAAAATGAATGGATGAAAGAATGGTTGGTGTGAGTTAAGGTTTATTTAACTCTAAAAGAATCTGAAGGCATTATGCTATAAGACAGCTTTAGAAATGAGGAGATATAGAAGACACATGCTGTTCTCCACCCAAAATTCCTTCTCTCCTTTGTCTTTGTTATCAGAATCCTAATTTTATTAGGGCTGGCAAATGGTCAGCCTCAGGTGATGGATCCTGTACTGTTTTCCCAGCATTTCTATAACTAGTGAAGGTTACATAACTAACTTCTGGCCAATGAGACTGAAGCAGAATTTAATAGAGAGAGAAGCTGGGAAATTTTTTGTTTTTCCGATGAAAGGAGATCGAGGAGGCGATCTGTCTTGAATGGAGACATGATGACAGGAGTTTCAGTGCCATTTTATGACCAAGAGGAAAGGCTGAGCCTCACAACACAGGACATGACATCACTACACTGCTTTAGTATGGATTTTTTATTATGTAAGTACAAGTCCAACTGTTTATGTTAAAAGTAATAAAGTTTTTCAGTTACTTATAACCAAACATATTCCTAACCAACACATGACTTGCTACCATTCTCTCGTGAAACCTGCAGTTAAATAACTTTCTCATTCCTTCTGACAGTAATAATTGTGTCTATCAGAGTGACATTTCAGTCTGTGGATTCTACACAGTAATGATTGAGAAGATAAAACTTCACTTTGATTCTAAACTGTGGCCATGATTTGTACTAATATAGAACAAAGGTATCCCAGCTTAAAACCTTGCCTCTTTGAGGCTGCCATGGAAAATTAGGAAAGAGGTCTAAGGACATCTGAATGTGTTTATAAAACTCTGGAAACCTTGGAAGTAATTTGAAAAGATAAGATGAAAGAAATTCAGAATATTGGTAAGTGAGGAAAGAACAGGTTCATGAAGATATAAATAATATAGAAACATGACTTATCACCTGGAAGTAGGCTAACACAAATGTTTTTGATAGAACTTGGTTAAGATATAAAGACAAAAAAAATGTATGTAAACAGATTGTTACCTCCTCTGAACCATCTCTGGGCTTCATGGGGTTAGCGTTAAGCAACCCTATGACAGTACCCTGCTCAGTCTTCCAGAGCTCTTTGTGAACTTCTCCGAACAAGAACAAAGACACATATCGCGTCAGGTCACGCAGATCATTCAGCCGCCAGATGCTAAATGTTTTTCCCTGGAACAAATGTTTCTTTTTAATAAATGTTCAACACAATGAGTGACATTGTATTTATGGTTCAGGTGTTCTAATGTTATATATAACACCATATCCATTAATTATAGATCAATGCTTTTTCAAGGTTTTGGTATTACCCTTCTCATTCTGGAGACTAAGGTGAAGTAAAGCACCAGTAGCAAATTCCTTACCAGTCTCTAATTCTCAGGTCTTAATAGTCAAACCCTCTTTCTAGACACACACACACACCCCACACACACAGAGACAACCTGCAATATGAATTCAGCCTCTGTGATTACCTGCTCCTCTCCTCCCCAAGAAGGTTATAGGTGTAACCCTAATGTTACCTAATGTTGACAAATGAAATGCAGTAGAATTATGTGGACCTGGGCTTCCGCAGTGGTGCAAGGGGTTAAGTCTCAGTCAGCACTATGAAGCTATCAACAGCCACTGCAACATGTGTTTAACCCACATGGTGCAACAGACCTCTCCTGTCTCGCCTACTGCTCCCCTCAGTAGTGTATTTCAGTAGATCTGCCTTTCTGCTCCCCACTCTGTTTCTGGTAAATCCTCTCACCTCCCCATATCTCTGGCCTACATCCCAGCTATTATATGCATAATAAAAAGTAAATATTTGAAGAATCACGTGGACCTGAGATGCCCAAGAAACCTGTACAACCAGATCTTCTTGAAGACACTCTCGCATACATTTTCCTCAGATACCAACCTGATGGTCGTGTGGTAACTTTAGAACTGTCAAGAAGCTATTTCAAGATGAAAGACTGATGGGCCCAGCATAACACATCAAGAACACGAGTCCCCATGGCCAGGCTATGATAAAGCAGGGAAGAAATCAATAAAATAGCTTACATTGTTAGAACTCTGTGGAGTGATTTTCTTCAATATAACCCCAAAAGTCACCCAATCTATTTCTTCCAGCTTCTCACTTGCAATTTTTTCCTTAAGCTGAGACAATCTGATCATTTTCCGGCCAATCATCTTCTTGTTCATTTCTGTGGAGGACACTCGAGGACGCCTGGGTTGAGACCAACATTAGTAGATTATTATTCTAAGAGATTGTCTGGCACTATGCTGACTGGTCAGAAAAGGTGTGATGAATAGGAATCTCTAAAGTACCTATTCTCGGGGGAGCTTAGTTTTGTAGTATGGACAAGGCAAACATTTTTATGACAGATAAATAAAAAGAATTTTTAAGCTTGGTTTGCTTTTCTTTGTATAGAACTAGGGCTTATATGGAAAACGAGATCACAAATTCCGTAAGTTTTTATAAATTACAAGCTATGATAGTCTTTAAAAATAATCTTTTAACTTAAATACAAAATCATGAATCAATACAAAAATAAATGTGGCACTTAAATTTCATCAATCCTGCAAGAATTTCACAGGTTCCACTACTTCTAATCAAATATTATTTAAGCCAACATTTTCACATAATAGTAAGTGCCTAGAATCTAGCTTCATTTAATATATTCTTGTTCCTAGTGACTGGCCAAAAATTCATGAATTTGCAAACTGGTTTGCTCTACTAGAATATTAATATCTACTCCAAGTTTGATCCTATTATATAGTTAAGAACAAAAGAAAAGAACATGCTTTTTGACTATCTCAGAAGTCTTCTGGGTAGAAAATCCTAGAGCTAATTCTGAACAATGAGGAATACTGAGAAGGAAGTGTAGGTGGAGAGATACTTTTCTTTGATTTCTGGGAGTTAATAGGTTATTATCCTTTGGAATATTTTAGGTTCTGACGTTCAGGTCTCACAATATAAACAGACTCAGACAATTCTGCAATCCTCTAAATTGCAGGCCACTAGAAACTTTGGCTGAGTAGTTTCAACTGTCTCCCTCATCCCACCCCTTTGCAGTACACCAACATCAGCAACATCTTTCTTTATCCAGAAGTATCAAGTGAGAGCTGCTCAGGCTGGGAGTGTCATTGCAAGAGGAACATGTGTGTCTTGAAAAAGAATCCTATAGCCCCCTCAAAGGGAATCATAGCTTTTACTGTGCCCTACCCCTCAAGACTCTGTCTTGAATGAAATTAAGATATTGAGTATATTTTTTTTCAGTTTTAGAGTAGAGCGTCCTTACAATACACTATCAATGCACTCTGACAGCAACTTGTTTTCTCCCTGCTTAATCATATATTTAGTTATAATTTAAGAGCATAGCAGTTTTAGTTTAGCTTGACAAGATTTAGGTGTTCTGGAGGGGGTTTACTCGGCTACTCAGATGGATGTACTCAAAGCAATCAAATCTCAAGAGTAATTTCTGCCCTGGACTTCTTGAGAATATTGGTCATACAATGGAGCAATGATTTAGAGCTCAAAAGATTTGTGCTTTTAAATGAACTCATCCTGGATTTACTCCTATTTGAATGGAGTATCTTAATTTCTCTACATACCAGTGCAAGGAATATAAATTTGCCTTAAAAGTTATTATGCAAGGGCCTCCCTGATGGTGCAGGAGGTTGAGCGCAGCGCTGTGAAGCTGTCCACAGCCTCTGTAGTGTGGTTCAATCCCCGCCGGCCTCAGAGCAACCCACATGGCAAGCAGACCTCTCCTGTCTCGCCTGCTGCTCCCCTCAGCAGTGTATTTCATCAGTCTGCCTGTTCTGTTCCCTGCTCTGTCTCTGGTGAATCCTCTCACCCTCCTGCACATCTGGCCTGTACCCTGGCTGTTGTATAAATAAAATTAATCTTTAAAAAAAAAAAGTTATTATGCAAGGAAAAGAATGGTTATTTTTCTTAGTGTTTATTATAAGAAGATATTATCATCTTGGTTAAACTATTTATCTTTTCTTTATGTGCTTGAAAATAGTTTATCACTATTTCTACCTGTCAATTCCTGATGAAATACATTATTTCATTTCCTTCATTCAAGAAAAACTCTTCCTTAAACACTTCCCATGCAAATGTATTGAGTCAAACCGAATGCTATAGCTAGTCTTATTGCCAAGTTTTGTCAAGTTCAGGTGATGTTGGTATTATGTGGATCTGCTGTACAAACACACTTTCTAAAAGGCCCAGTGTTTGAGGAGGGGAGAGGTACATGAACAGATTAGGGGGCTGTTAGAGTTACTGACCTGAGTCTCAGACCGGAGAAGGCTTCCACAGAGATAGGCTGAGCCATTTCCCCAGAACTCTTGGGGTTCCTGCACTCTGATGTCTAGTCACACTGCTCGGCTTGTTGCCGGGAGTGATTTGGAGTGGTAGGGAGGGTGCATTTGTCATACTTGAAGGTATACTTGTCATACTTGAAGATGAGCTTCTGGGCACTAGAAAATTTGCATCAAAATGAAGTCAGAAGAAAACAGTAATTTCTTTTTCAATCAACAGTTCCAATAACCAAATATTGAGAGAACATGGAAACCCACAAGATCACCTCTATATGCTCAAAATCTCTGTGGTGTAGACCAAAAATCCCTCCTGTGTCAGTGGAATTGTTTTATATTGGTGCTGCCCAATGTGGCAGCCACCAGCCATGTGTGCCACATAGCACTCAAAATTGACTTGTGCATCAGAGGAAAGGGATGTCCATTTAATCTAATTAAATTTAAATAGTCACACATGGCTAGTGGCTGCTGTATTACAGAGTGCAGCTCTAGACCAGTGTTCCTCTGTGCAATGACATTCTCTAAGTAGTCACCATAGAAGATGCACGGTGGTAGATGACATAGGGGCGAATCCTGCTTTGGAATAAACAATTACAGATCTGCATACAACTCAAATTCTACCTTCAGAAAACCCAGATAAGATAAACCAAAATACCTACATATGTGCACACATGAACATGCACACACACACACTGTGTTAATGTATTTTAAACTAAGCCAGAGTAATGAGAAATCAGTGTGGGAGGATTCAAATACTACACCTGCAGGTGAAACTTTTGGTGTTCGAGCCACCCGCTTTGCTTTTGGTAGAATAGGAACATCAAGCTCAGCAGAAAAACAAGTTGACTCTTGAATTCTCTGAACTTTTCTCTCCTTAAGAGGTAGACGTACAGACTTATCTACTTGAGAAAAAGTAAAAGAAATCAGTCAAGAAAGTTTGGAAAGGGCTCCAAAGCTGTCTTATTTATTTTTTTAAATATTTACTTTTATTTATATATATAAGAACTGGGGTATAGGCCAGAGGGGTGGGGGATGAGAGGATTCACCAGAGATAGAGTGGGGAGCAGAACAGGCGGATCTACCGAAACACACCACTAAGCAGAGCAGCGGATGAGATAGGAGAGGTCTGCTGCGCCATGTGGGTAGCTCCCTGGCCAGGGATTGAACTCAGGCTGTCATGGTGATAGCTCTGAGACAACCCCTAGGCCACCAGGGAGGCCCTTAAGAACTGTTTTACCAGGAGTTGGATGCAGCAGTAATGTTATAATTTCTTCGTAACAGAAATGCATCCTGTTGCTGGATTGACAGTCTTATTACCAGGGGGTTTCTGCACAAGAGCTGGACTGTTAGGCTGTGTAATTGTTGCTGTCTTTAGCTTTTCTTGTAAGGACTTCATTTGCTCTTGTAGCTTTCTTAATTCATCTAGGAAAGAAAAATATATTAATTTAAGAAACAGAACAGAGGCAATATTATACACAGTGAAAGTACAGGAATTATTTTTGGTGTCCACCAAAATTCTGAGACTAACAATATGACCACATACTGAGAACTCATGATAACTTAGTACTTCAAAGGGGTCCCTTAGCGATATAAATTTTATATTTCTAATAATCAAGCCTTTAACACCAAAGCTACTGAAAAATTTGTATTACTGACAGATAGCAAAGATACATATCCCCTCCTTAACAACCTTTTAAGGAGCCTAGAAATGATTATATTTATTTCATAAGAATCATAATTAATAAAATAAACATTAATTCCTGTATTAGAAGAAACAGTTATACTATTTCTGAATTATTTTACGGTTTAAAAATAAAGATGCCAGTATTGAGAAAGAGGGAGGTATGCCTCAAAGTTTCTGTTCAAGCATGGTCTCCTGCTCAAATAGCATATACAGTAACATAGTCTTATCTCTAGCTCCACATGCATACAAATCCCCAAGTAATATTTTTCTGTAATAAGCAGGGAAAATGTTGGAGTCATTCTGTGAAAGATAAGTCACAGCCGCTGACACAGAACTATGCTAAAATGCATACGGAGGCCTTAAATATCTGGTCTACTCATTCACACAAATTTGTTAACAAGTATTTATCTCCAGCCTTGAATCTGCAGCTATTTTGATAAAAACTGTCAGATTGGTGACCTTCAATCTAGTCTATTACAAAGAAATTAGAGAAAGCAAGTTTATAGGGCACCTTGCAACTCCTGATTTGTTTTCTCTTGATTGGGAGCAGGAGCAGGGAGGACTCTATTTTTAGTTGATTGCAATGGAGGTTCTTCTTCTTCATCTGTTAAGTCTTCCGTATCTCCAAAGAGAGTGGCCACATTTTCCTTTTGATCGTCAGTCTTTTCCTCATTTCCATCATCAATCTCCTCAGTGTATGATTCACCATCACCACTAGCATCAAAGAGCTCATCAAATTCATCAGGTCTGCCGTCTGTCTGGGCCACGGGGTCAGTCTCCTCTGAATTACAATTCAAGGCTGCCTCATTCTCCTCCAGTAATGCAGTCAGCAGACACAGATCATCACCCTCCCCTAGGGAAAGAAAAAGGACAGAAATTATGCCTGCCTGAGAAACAGTGCCAATGACAAGCATAGTGAATTAAAAAGTCAACATTAATAAGGTGATTAAAATTATTCTGCAGATTTACCATTTTGTCTGATATAATTATTGCTTATGTCTGCCTTTCCTTTTCCCAAATGCTTAGAGGGTAAGGGGTTGAGGCAGAAGAGCCTGCTATTTCTTAGTGATCACAGTGGGCCAGGCACGAGGCTCTATCTTTTCACTTGTGCCCCTTCAGCTTTCTGCATACTAACATCTATGAATTTGACCTCCAGGGGATAATCAAAAACCACAACTCAAGGGCCCAATGCTGTAGCTACAACCCTGCCTTTTGTTCAGAAACTTTTTCTAAAATGTAGAAAGATGCAGAAAATTATATAAAAAGTTATCACTAACATTTTAGTGCTGGTTAGACAAGGTTAGACATTGCTTTTGGCCTTATGTTAAATTATACTTTTATAAAGTTAATAAAAACTTAAAGTTTATCATATCCTAACTCCTTATCACTATATTCTAGGCCCCATTACAATCACTATCATAATTTCAGCACAACAATTCAGTCTACTTTTCATACATTTCACGTAAATCTATGTGAACTCTGACCTCTGAAGTCAGACTGTCTGGTTCAAATCTCTGCCCTGACAGCAGAGATTTGATGAGCCACTAAATATGTCATCCATCTACAAAATCTAGTTGCTATGAGAATGAAACCAGGGCCTCCCCTGGTGGCGCAGCAGTTGAGCTCTGGGCTGTGAGGATGCCCGCAGCCTCTGCAGTGCTGGTTCGATCCCCGGCCACCGGTGAGGGTCCCACATGGCGCACAGACCTCTCCTGTTGCGCCCACTGCTCCCCGAGCAGTTTATTTCGTCAGTCTGCCTGCTCTGTTCCCTGCTCTGGCTCTGGTGAATCCTCTCATCCTCCCGTGCTTCTGACTGTACCCAGTGCTTGTATAAATAAATAAATAAATAAATAAATATTTAAAAAAAAAAAAAATCTAGTTGCTATGAGAATGAACCAGTTCACAAAATTAAGGATCTTAGAGCAATGCTTGGAACATTGTAAGTATATGCCAACTATTATTATTGTGAAAGACAATTATTGCTGCCAGGAGGAGAAATCCTACCTAATTAAAACAATAACCCTCAGTGAGAAAAAGTGTCACTGAGACAATCTTAAAGGTGGAGGGCCTCAAGTCCCTCTTCTGTATGTGGAATAAATAACAAGACTATGGACAAAATGATAGTTTTCCATGACACCAAGAGAAAATGAGAAAATTGCCAGAACTTACCATCCATGATGTAAGAGAACAGCTGGAATATAGAACTTCAAGGAAGGATCAGGGACCTAGGGGTGGCAGGAATGCAGAGCTTCATCTGTGTGAAATCAGAAAAGTCACCCTTGATTCTTCTCTCTCTCCCACAGAATATCTAACAAACCTAGAGTCCCATAAATTCTGAGCACCCTAACAAATTCATCCAGAATGTGACCATCCTCTTTTCCTTCCACCCAGTACAGGAGCAGTCCCCTTTCCCTGTCTTCAAACTATGGTTACCAGAAACTTTGGTGAGGTCCAGAGTAGCAGCTTGCACGCTGAATTATACAAATAAGCAAATCGGGCACAAGTATTATTGAGCCCTAAATATTAGTGCTATTAGTCCATTTTATTTATTGTAACACATGTGATAACTACATTATCCATAGCAGCCAAGTGTGTGGTCCTACTTAGATTCTGCCTTAGTCGCATCAGGTTTCAACTCAACACTAGTTAGCAAAGTTCAGAGGAAAAGTTGGCAGATCTAATTAGAATAAATTCTTACTCTGTGCCCTCTTCCACTTCTCCCTGGTTTCACCACCCAAAGTACCAGCTACGATCAATCTTTTGCTTGCACCACTACATTAACTTCCTGTATTGGTCTCTCCAGCCCCCTGTATTCTGCTCTCCACACAACAGCTTCCATCCATCTTTTCTAAGTCATCTTTTTTTTTTAAAAAAAGATTTATTTATTTATGCACAGAAGAACTGGGGTACAGGCCAGAGATGCAGGGGGTGAGAGGATCCACCAGAGACAAGAGTGGGGAACATAATGGGCAGACCGAAATATACTGCCAAGGGGAGCAGTGGGTGAGACAGGAGAGGTCTGCTGCACCATGTGGGTTGCTCCCTGGCCGGATGGGGAACGAACTCATGCTGCAAAGGCTGTGGATTGCTTCATAGTGTGGTGCTTAACCCCTTGCGCCACCAGGGAGGCCCTCTAAGTCATCTTTTTGGCATATAAATCATATCATGGTATTCCATTAATAAAAATTCTTCATAATTTTTTCATTGCCCTTAGTACAAAACTTACAAAGCCTGGAGGCACTTTTCTACTTTGCCTTCCTTACCTTTTCTATGTATCCATTTCAGCCAATTCTACAACTCCCCCCCCCCCCAAACTGTGCTTCAACAATTCCACCTTGTTTTCAAGTTACAGACCACAAAGTGCTTTCTGGCCTCCAGCTCTCTGGAAAGCGCTCCCCTAGCTCCTTTTCACCTTGCAGACCCAAACTATCAATTTCTCAAAGCATTTGCACACCACCTATCCAAAACAGGCCTGGATCATACCCTCTTATCTCACCCTTTTAGATTATCTTTCTGCCCATTCCACAGTGGTATACTTGTTTATCTATTACCCTCTTTAAAGTCTAAGTTTCACGCAGATTAAGTTAAAGTGTATTTGGGGCCCAGACATAACACACATTCAGGAATATAAAGGGGGGGGGGGAAGAGGAGGCAAAAATAAACCTAAACAAACCCTAGGAATTTGACTGCAGAATTGAGGTTACCAGAGAGGGACGGGTTGGGGAAAGGAGGGGAAGGGCCGATGGACCTTAGAAGATTATGCTGCTTGGATGGGCGGTGTGGTGTGGTAAAATACGCCTGAAGAATTGTGAGTCCCTAAAAAACCGTGTAGTGTTGTATATATTAACCTTACCTCAATAAAAAACAATACAGGGCCTCCCTGGTGCCGCAAGAGGTTAAGACACAACCTATGAAGCTATCCACAGCCTCTGCAGCAGCGAACCCCAGCCAGGGAGCTACCCACACGCACAGCAGACCTCTCCTGACTCTCCTGCCGCTGCTCCCCTCAGCAGTGTATCTCAGTCGATCTGCCTGTTCTGTTCCCCACTCTGTCTCTGGTGAATCCTCTCACCCTCTGCACCTCTGATCTGTACCCCAGCTCTTGTATGTGTAAATAAATAAATCTTTTTAAAAAGTAAATAAATAATAAATAAACATACATTTACATGCATGAGTAATAAAGCTTCTCCTGACCTCACCAAAAAAAAATATACATTTTAATAAAGCTATTAACAAATCATGAACTTTAAACCCTTAATGAATGAATCAAGTCCAAACGGCAAGCATCTGGCAAGCATTTTGGTTACTTTTAAAAAGAAAAACTGGTCCCTTTAACAGAGCAGACGACCCTACGCGGGGTCCTTCCAGATGCTTTTCAGAGGGGCCCGCACCTCCCCAGCTCCCACACTTTCCCGCCGCTCTCCCCCGGCGCCCACCCGCAGCGCTCGCCCTAGGTTCGCCCGAGATCGCCGCCCCAAGGCAGCCCAATGCCGGTCGCGCCCCCCAGAGAGCCTCCGAACCCCGCGTCTCTCGCCCAGAGTCAGCTCTCCCCGCCGCCCGCGGGCCGCCCTTATCGCGCCGACCCAGCTCCTTACCCGGCTCCGCACAGCTTCCCCGGCTACAGCTAGTCCCGCCAAAATTCTAACTTGGCTCCACCCCCGCCGCTACGTCAGACGCACGCCGACTTGCGACCGCGCTGATTGGCTACGTGAGCGCTCTCGGCGTGGACAACCTGGGGGAGAGGGAGAAAGACGATCCTCGCGTAGAGCAAGCTGATTGGCTCACGTGACCCGGCGCCCTGTTTGTTGGGGGCAAAGGCACTTCCGGTCGGTGCCATTTTAGCGTCTTTAGATGAAATGAAGGGTTCTGGCGCCCCCCAGCTCTTGGAAGTTTAAATCTTTCCCGCAAGGTAGTTTTAACCGGGGTCCAAACTAAGCAATACGGACCTCTCTGTCCAGCCCCAGATCTGAAAATCCACTCCTTTCTTCCTCCCTCCTTCCTGCCTTCCCTCCCCCTTAATGGAGTATTAATATTCCATTTATGAACTCAGCTGTTATCTGAGCATATTATATTGATCTAAGAATAGGAACAATACCTTTTTAAGAACTGTTAATGTTGAAAAATACGTAGTAATGTAAGAACTATAGCACCATACTGAAGAAAGTAGTTTTAGTGCATCACTACATCTAGTTATAAGAAGTTTATCGTAGATATAGTCATTATGCAGACATTCCGGGACCAATTCTCATTGATATTCTGAAGTTCTTTTCTTCCCTTTGATTTTTCAGGTCCACTTTGCATCCAGTTCCACGCAAGAAATGGGAAACAGTGCCAACTGAGTTCTCAGACTTTTCCTGGAGTGAAGAATCAAGCAATTATTACAGGAATTCATGCAGTGGTGATTTTGAGAAGTGGATGTGATTCTGAGAAAGAAGTAGAAGTGATTAACTCACTGAATGTGGGGATGTTAGAGAAGGATTAAGATAATTGGGGAGGAGGGGGAGGGAGTAGTTTTTGAGATAAAGCACTGCAGGTCAAGAACAAAAGAACAGAACAGGTTTGGGAAAACAGATTTGGTTTTGGACTTCAGGCTGAGGTGTGTGAAAGATACAGATTAAGAAAAGTTTGATTTTCAGATCTGGGGTTGGACAGAGTGGTCTGTATTACAGTGGCTCTTAACTTTTAGCAAGTATGGGAGGGTGATCACAAACTCCTTTAAGAATACAATGAAAATATTTCCCCTCCTCCCAAAATGCACACTCCTACATTCAATATTTTGTATATAGTTTCAGGAGATTTACCTTTTTCCCCTGAAGACGCTCTCCAAGAACCTCTGGTGTAGGAAGAGCCTTAGAGAGCAGACATTTGAGGTATGGAAGAGGCAGAAGCTGAATAGGGCAGCTGGAGTGGCTAGGTAAACAGTACTGCCCTTAATCCTTGGCAAGAGGGTCCCCTCTTGCCTTCACGTGCCCTAGGTCTCATTCTCTTTCTGCTCTGTCCTCCCCTACATGGTGAGGGGTCCAGGGATTCACCTATCCATGTCCTGGGCACTACCTGTTAGCTATAGGTCCTGGACCCTGGAGTTCTTTACCCAGTGACCCTGAATTCACATGTGGGTCCATGTGGCTGCTTCCCCTGGATATCCTTTCAAGGGTAGGTCCCCTGTGCAGCCCATAATCTGAGTTCAGGTGGTAAAGAAGCAGGGTTTGTAAGGCTGAGGCCACTTCTCCAGATGCTATGCTTCAGTGTAAAACTCAAGGAAATGGGTAGTTTTATCTATAAACTTTAAAATTTTATATATAAAATGCGAGGGCCTCTTGCTCAGGGTTTTCCAGTAGAAGAGGTGGGCCTTCAGGGAAATCATGACACAGGATGCCAAGGAAGGAGAGGTTTAGGAAATGGAAAATGTCAAAGCTAGAGAGCAGAGGTTCTCAAAGTTTGATTCCCAGACTAGAAGCAGAAGCACCACCAGGAAACTTGTTAGAAATCAAGGACTTGGGCCCATGCTAGACCTATTCAATTAGAAAGTCTGAGTGTGAGATGCAACATTCTGTGTTCAGTCTTTGTAATTATTGCATCTCTTCAGAGCAGTGGTTTCTAAAACTTTAGAGTGCATCAGAATCATCTGCTAAAACACAAAACAAGAAAGGGCAATAGGCAGCAGAGGGAATGGTTAGTTGGCCTGAAGCCTCCTTCTCCAAATGCCACTGGACTATATGTGCCTCTGATGTCATCCCACTTACCGGGTCTTATGGGTAGTCTTTCATCTCTCCTGAACACACCCTCTCCTCTGCACCCTTTTCTGACTCTTGTTTAAATCTCTTACCAATCTCTTCCATTTCCAACCTATACTCTTATTGCTCCATTTCCAACAAACTCTTGGCCTCGCCTCTCCCTGAACAAAATTCATCAGATTTCCTCAATTCCTAAAAATCCCAAATTTCTTGCCATTCAAGATCTTTATATGGACCTCATTGCTGTCTACTTCTCTACTAACCTTACTTTTATCTTTCCCCACTAGATCAGACTTCTAGCCATACTGAACAGTTTCCATTTCCTCAAATAGCCCAAACTCCAGCAAGCCTTGTGGTCTTTGTACATGAATACCCCTCAACCACTGGATCAGCTCCATCTGCCTGTTTCATTTCTCATCCAACCAACCTCAGTTCAGATATCACCTGCTTTGGGACACTTCTCTGGGTCTCAGGGCAAAGATTTCCTACTTGGTGCTTCCTAGGAGCTCTAGACTCTTGGCTATATAGCGCTTGCCACATTGCACCCAAATGGTTATGTCTTCTGCTGCTTGTTCATCTTTCTCTCACTTCTCTTGTCACTGGTGCCTAGCACACAGCACATGTTGATAAAGAAAAAAAATCCAATAGCGTATTTGCTCCTTAACAAATCACTTTGCCTTTGAGGGCTCAGTTTCTTCATCTGTAAAGTGTTGATAACAGTAATACATAGAATAGAGGGTTTTAGGAAGGATGAAAAGAGAATTTCAGTACATTTTCACACATAGGTTATCAGATATAATAACATTGCCTCAGGTGTAGAAGTTGTTGAGCAAAGACATGCTTCATAGTCTAGGAATTTATAGACTAATTTGGGAGAGGTGATATATGCATAAAAGATAATATAAAGTGACTACCAATGAGTATGAATCTTGCCAATAAAAACTCTATATAGTCTTGGTTGTTTTAATAAATTCCCTAAGAATGTTCAATATATTTTTCCTTGGTTATGCTGGGTTAATAACTATATTTTTTATATATGTGAAATTACTTTTGCCCATGATAATGGTTCCATATATTTAAAAGACAAAATTACTATATAAATCTATCAGCTCATTGAGAGTTCCTGAATCAATACTTTTTGTATTATATTTCATTTTTTTGCAATTACTTAGCTAGGAAAAAATAACAAATTATTCAGTGATGACTATTTTTATAGCAAGAGTACATAGTGTTATTTCAATAATTTTTTTAAATGAAGAACTATGTAAATCAAAGGATGCTAAACAAAAAAAAAAAAAGGATGCTAAACAAGAACGTAAAATTATTTATACTTTTTACATGACTTTCATAAGAAAGCAGTGTTGGTACCTTCTGTTGTTCCACTAAAGATATGAATATTGGCTTATATACTTGATTCTCTAGGACACTTAAAATCTACAACAAACCATCATCAACTTTCTCTCACTGACTTAATGATGGTATAATGTATGTGATGTTTCATGAAAAATAATCCCAAATTGGGCCTCCCCGGTGGCGCAGCGGTTGAGCGCTGGGTTGTGAAGCTGCCCGCAGCCTCTGCAGCGCCGGTTCGATTCCCAGGCTGCTCCCAGGCCACCGGAGGAGGGTCCCACATGGCACGCAGACCTCTCCTGCTGCCTGCTGCTCCCCTCAGCAGTGTACTTCGGTCCTTCTGCCTGTTCTGCTCCCCGCTCTGGCTCTGGTGAACTCCCTCTCACCCTCCCGCGATTCTGACTGTACCCAGTGCTTGTATAAATAAATAAATAAATTTTTAAAAAAATCCCAAATTGGGCCTCCCTGGTGGCGCAGCGGTTGAGCACTAGATTGCGAAGCTGCCTGCAGCCTCTGAAGCGCCAGTTCGATTCCCGGCCACTGGGTGAGGATCCCACATGGCGCGCAGACCTCTCCTGCCGCCCACTGCTTCCTCAGCAGTGTACTTCGGTCCTTCTGCCTGCTCTGCTCTCCCCTCTGGCTCTGGTGAATTCTCTCACCCTCCTGTGCTTCTGACTGTACCCAGTATAAATAAATAAATAAATCTCTAAAAAAATAATAATAATCCCAAATTAGTCCTTTCATTATCCATCAAATAGTAACACCATCCAGTCTTCACAACAAATTTGATTTTCTGATGCACACAATGCATATTACATGTGTTCAAATTAAAAATTTTATAGTTCAAAGTTACTTTTCATTAAAAAACAATAGCCTTTATTTTTTAGAGTTTTTGGATTACAGAAAAATGGAATGGTAAGAACCAACTTCCCATATTGTCCCTACTACACAAGTTTCCCATTATTAACATCTTGTGTTCATATGAGACATGTTATAATTTATGAATCAATATTAAACTAAATAATTGACATTACTTTAAAGTCCATAGTACACTAGGGTTTACTCTGTGTTATGTATTTTATGGGTTTTGACGAATGCACCTGCTATCACAGTATCATTCAGAATAATTTCACTGCCTAAAAATTCTTTAGGCGCCACCTATTCATCCTCTCTCCACCTAATGCCTCACAACCTTTTTACTATCTTTAAAGTTTTCAGTTTTGCCTTTTCCAGTATGCTATGCATGTAAGTCATACAGTACATAACCCTTTTTACTTAGGAATATGCATGTAAGGTCTCCTATGGCTCTTTGTATTTTGATAGCTCACTTTTTATTAGCATTAAATAATATTTTCATTGTATGGATGTACCACAATATATCTAATTATTGAGGGACATCTTGGTGGCTTCCAAGTTTTTGGCAATAATGAATAAACCTATTGTATACATTCACATGCAGATTTTGTGTGGACATAATTCTTCAGTTCAATTGGAAAAATACCAAGGAGCACAGTTGCTGGACTGTATAGTAAGAGTATACTTAGTTTTGTAAGAAA